TGATGCCCGCAGCGATATTGAGACCCCAACTATCGGAGTTCTAGTGCGATTTGATCCAGCTACTCGGTACAGTTTATTTTTATTTTTGTCTTATCTTCGATGCTCTATTCGTACTACGTATCTAATGTTTTGTTCTAACAGAATGGACTTACCCCGGATTCCAGGTGCGCCACAACGTCTACATCCTCCTCCTCCAGCAGAGGAAGACCTACCAGGCGTATTCAGACGACCGGAACGCGTGGGGCTCCCTCGAGCATTATAATGGAAGCCTAGAGCCTATCTGTTCAAGGATTGTCTTGTTTCTGTGAACTTGTTGTATATAGAAGCAGAGGCGCAAGCAGACATGCCACTTCTGGGGTATTCTTTCCTAAATTCTGGTTTCTTTTTCCTTTTCCTTTCTTCTTTCTCTGTCATAATGTTATCATATTCGGATTCGTTTCACTTATATAGACATTGGTTATCAGATAAAACACAAAAATTCAAGTATCTTCAGGAGTCTTCCCTTAGAACCGATACGGATAGAGGGTTCCTGCTGGGCTTTTAAATTTGCTTAGGTACTTCTTGTAAGTCCCGGCGGCATGGGACGGGAGCTAACTGCGACTTCGGAGAGTATTCTGCTGATGTGATTGGCTAGAGCCTGAGACGATGTGACCTGCGCGCTATGTACCTGGCCCGCCCCCTGCCTGCCCTCCAGAGCTGAAGGTGAGCACATCGGACCTTCCGGTAGCTTGATTAGTAGCTTATTAAGTGTTCTGGGGAGCAACAGTAGGTAGTATTGTGTGCCGTTTTAAGTACCAGCCAGACTTCGGGGTGCTCACCTTCTGTTCCTGGGTACAGTGACAAGAGTGGATGTACAGCGGGATCACGAACATCGTCATCTTCAATAGCCATGGGGTATCGGCCGAGGTCGCCAAGGCACTCAATCCACGTATCTTCAAAAGCAGGGACCGTTTCATACAACATGGCCATCATGCTATATGCCAGGTACAGGAACGTTTTAACCAATCTATTTGAAGAAGAGCACGAAGAAGGTTTCTATAAAATACTATTTAAGTTTCTTAAAAGTAGTATTAAAAAAAGTTTCCTCCATTCATAAGAACATAACCTTTGGTTAGCGTCACACGCTACACTTATAAGTCAAGACTAGAAGATGAGTGATAACCAGTTCCAAGCGAAGACTTTTGGTAAGTCGGGGTTCAATACCTTTTAAAATACCATGATCTATATACATACTAAGCTAAAACAAAGGAAGATACAAATACGTGCCAAAAAGGAAAAAGGAAAATAAGAAATAATATCCCAGAAGCGTCATGCCTACTACCATCCATCGCTCGCCTTGCACTTCGGACAATGCGAACGGCAAGGCCCAAACCAAACCCAGGAATACTTAATACTATTGGAACAGATAGAAGTAAATGTCTGGGTTTACATTTGTGATATTTCAGGGAATTCCACGCGTTGTGGTTGTCGGAATGCGCCTGGTAAGTGTTCCCCTGCTGGAGAAAGAGGAAGAGGAGGAGGAGGATGTCGATGCCGCGATGAATGGGATGACACTGTTGCCATTGATGGTGGGGCAATGGTAGATGAGATGCTGTCGAAATAGAATGTTAGATACATAAAGTGAAGATAAATGAAGGAGGATATAGCTATACCGAGAAGCTGGATTAAATTGTACTAGAGCAAGTTCAAGAGTCAAGGTTTCGACATCGTGGGGCGCGGGATTGCGGCGACATAGTGCTTTATATGCGAACCAAGCACTTAAAGTTGACACAAGTAATCCTGGAATTGTACTAATGATAGTTACAATAGCCTCCGTAGATAGATCACTCATGTTGGACGACTCTATAGAGTGTTAAGGTACTGCTTTCTCAGGAGTGCGCATCTAATTTAGAAGATGGGCGTTTGAGAACGTGATATGGAAACGTATTAATTGCTTATTTATTCGAGTCTTGGGTGAAGACTTCTCTAACCCGCGACAGGGGTGCTGAGTCGGTACATACGAAGCCATCCATATGATGGATGTCCACTCTCTGGCGATTTCTGCCATAGGTGTGTCGCTAAAAGATTCCCACGCAAGGAATTGAACACTTAGTTACTATGTACCTTCGTGAGTACTTTACGCGCTGTCACATGACGCTATGCGGTACATGGTATGAAGCTATCATAAAGACCTTACCATGGATATTAGGTGGTCGAATTGAACCTTGTTAGCAGCTGACAGAGGAATTAATAGAACCATCTTCACCAAGATTAATAGGCAGGCGAGGATGGAGAAAACGAGCGGCTTGGCCATTCTGAATAAAGCTTCCCATTCCCCGCCCATGTCTCCCGTTAATAACATGGTTGGATTCTCTCTGCTTGCAAGACGAAATGCTATAAGATAGAATGTTGCACAGTTGTCTCGCATTTGCAGTTCTTTAAAGCTGAATGTCTGACTCTTCACATTTAGGGAAGAGTTTATTGACCTATTTACGTGTTACGGCACAGGATAATAGCATTAATGAATTTATATTTGATGTTTGTACAGTTAAGTCGTAGAAGCAAAAATTGATCGACTAGCTAAGTCAAATATAATTACACATCCGGTATCCCAGTATTATTTCTATTCATACGCATCCGAAATATCCCCCCGAACTATCCACAATCCATGTCGCTTGAATCACAGACTCTTGTCTAACCTGAGGTTAACAAGTTCAGCCTTATAGTACATCCTTCTCGAATTAAATAGCAAGCCGGGGACTGCAATTAGTACTGAATTCTGCATTGCCTATCGACTTGCTTGACGTCGTTACATCAGGGCATTGTTTAGTCATGCTTCGTTCGGTCGGTTCGTTGAGAGCATTCTGTAATAGCGTTAATATTTGCAAAGTCTAGGGAAAATTCGACAATGTACCTTAAGTCAAAAAGTAATGTTGTTTGGTTGCTCATTCTTATCGACAAGTCCACTTCTTGAATCTTTTCTTCCACTTGTTCCGGTCCTTATGCACTAGGACGCAAAGAATACCCCAACACAGGACACAAATAGTCCAGCCGTAGAATAGGCAATAGCTACTTTGACTTCTTCTGACATTGTTTGGCGATTGGACAAGAGAAGCTTTGAAGAACAAAAACTTGGATAAAAGAAAATGATGTAGGGCAAAGAATAGGGATTGTCAACCACGAAGACGGAGATTGTAGAGGACAAAGGGTTCAAGATCTGAGGTGTAACGGCGTTTAAAGAGAGCAACCAGTTCATATAGGCGCCGACAAAAGAGCCGCAGCTCGAGGCGGTGCCGCCATGCTGAGCGTTGTGTGTTGCACATTTGCACACCATCGAGGCTGGATGAGTAATGCAAGACTGTTGGAGCAGGGAGTACGACAGATCGTGGATGTTGACTAATTATAACAAGGCAGAGTGAGATGTAATGGAGGAACAGTTTGTGTAACAGTATGCCGTTGTTGATCAAGTTGGTTGTACTCTGAAGGGTTTAATGTTTCTATTGTTAGACTAATTATGAAGAACTCCAACGGTTGGTACAAAATACAATAAACAGATATCAAGACTTGATAGAACTCCAACTCCTGCGCTATGTTTTCCCAAACGCAATACAAAACAAGAGATCATGTACGTCAACAACTCCAGAGGTAAAAAGGCAGATCGTCCATGGGAGCAGCAACAACAACCAATCTCGACAAGGCTCTCATAGTATCCTCTCCAGAAATCACCACCTCCACCAATTCCCAAACAGAAGCTCAAAAAGAAACCCTCTCACTGTATACGGCTCCTGGTGCGGTATCACAGGAAACTCCGTGATCGTCGACTCAGAATACTCAGCCGTAGTGGGTCGATACTGTGACCTCGTTAGCTATGCCCTTCAAACAGTTAACAATGGACTTACCCCTCGCTCCCAAGTATACGCTCTATCCGACGCAGAACAGATCGAGAAGGATAACCACGTGCAGAAGTACAACGCCACTCTGTGTGCCCCCAGGAGAGCGCGGAGGATGGGGTGTACTATCGGGCGCAAGATGTGTCGGCGTACTGGCTCCAAGTCGCGATAGAAGGTGCGATAGGATCTATAACATCTGAGGCAGAGGACGACGACTATGGGCACGAAGTACTTCCCCCAGAAGCATTGGAGTGCGGATATGGGTCTCTTCAAGGCTGACAGAGGAAGAGACACGGCCCACAGGAGAAGAGACGGCAGCTCTTCCCAGAGACCTTGCACTATTATTCTTTCCCACAAGACCTGGACACATATCCATTCCCAGGGAATCTTTCCCAGTATCCGTAGGAGTGGTCTAAGTAGCATATCCCAGACAGTCGGTCGGAGAACACTTATCCACAGGGGGTATAGAAATATGCGCCAGAGGAAGCGACAAATGGGCCATGTGATATAGTAGGCGCATTTGTCTTCCAAGAAGAACAGATTGTCTTCTTGGTACGGGGACTCTGTTGCATCGTAGTCCCAAGGAGTGCTTGGGCAGTCGGAGTCCACAGTCATGGGAGTGCCCGGTATCTTTGGGCTGGAATTTGGGCTCCTTTTGTGCTTGGGAGCCCTGCATCCTCTTGTTGAGCGACCCATCGTGTCTAGAAATTGTTGTTGATGTAGGTGTGATGTAGGTGTGATGTAGGTGTGATGGTGTTGTAGCTGGTGTTTCTCGGTCACGATATCAGTGTCTGGAGGGCAAAGCGTGGTGAGTATGGTGGCGAGAGGAAGTCAGTGTTGGGAAAGGGAAAGAGTGTCGTGTTCATTTTGGAAAAGGGTTGGGAAGAATATTTGTCCTGCTTGATTTAATGTTTGGTGCGAGCGATCAGATTCGCAAGATTTCGTGGAAGCAAAGCTTGATAAGAGGTAGCAAACGAGAGCTTGTTGCGGCAATCAGCAACTCAATCAATACCTGAGAGTGTCATATGAACCAATCATGATAGAGCAAATAGCAATCAACGTTCATAAAGCAATTATTCCCCCAATCAGACCTACCAAATGTCAAGAAGTTACAAAGATCCAATCAACTCCTTACATCCGGATCACCAACTTGCCCAAATCACCCTTGAGGTTAAGAACTTTATCACAAGCCCTCTTCACATCCCCCAAATTTCCAAAATCAACAGCCGTAAAGATCCCTCTGACCTTGCCATCCTTAATCATGCCCTCAACAACCTTCATGTCCTCCATAATCCCTGGATTCCCAGACAGAAACTCATACTTGATGTTTGTACCCCGTAGCTTCCAAGTATACCACCACTGAAACGTATCTAAAATCCATCCAAGCCAGCCCGGGAAGTGTTTCGGACCCAGCATCTCAAGCATAACTCCACTCTTGGGTACACTGGCGATACTCATGAGGATACCATCTGGCTTGAGGACAGATATGCACTCATCTAGTGTGGAGAACTGAGTGCTTATTGCAAAGTCAACTGTGCCTGGACCAACCATGTTGACTACATTTTGGGTTTTGTAGTCGTAGAGTTGGTTGACCAGCCCAGGGAGATATTCCTCTATAAGAGCCATCTTGGGCGTGGATACTGTTGAAATAATCTTGTCGGCACCAAAGTAATTCTTTGCGACTTGGATCATCAAGGAGCCAGTTCCGCTAAGAGCAGCGGGTATGTACACTGTCTGACCAGCGAGGTCATCTCGCCCTTGGTGTTGAAGACCGCGTTTGATGGTCTGATATGCAACCACTGTCAAAGCTGGAAGTGCAGCAGCTTCCTCAAAGGAGATATGGTCGGGTTTCTTGTGAAGAAACTTTGCCTCTGTGACGACGTACTCTGAACACCAACCCGCGGGTGGTCGAGTAAGGATAGGCTTTTCATACTCGGCGCCATAGACCTTATCGCCGACTTGAAAGTCAGTGACCTCTGAGCCGACAGCGATCACTGTTCCAGATCCTTCCATGCCGAGCGGAAAAGGGAACTTCCTGGAGTTGTGTAAGTTTAGTTTGGGTTCAGCGCTTATGTTACTTACAGCCGATCACCAATAAGGATGCGAAACTGTCCGGAAGGAAACCTTGTGTCCTCAGTATTGATACAAACTGCTCCCATTTTGAGTAGGACTTGGTCAGGCTTTGTGATGCTCGGCATGTGTTGTTCCACGACTGTATACTCGGCTGGGAGACATTTCCTTGGCGCAACTAGGGTTTGAGTGGTAGATGGTAACTTAGACATTTTGCTTAGCGTAGAAGATCTAATGATGATTGCTATGTGTTCACATGTTTACTGAGCGCCGCACGATCTTTTATTCACTTCTATTCGGCGGCGGAGTCGGTATGTCGGCGGTGGAGATCAAGAAACTCGGAGGGGACCCACCGAAACCGCCGAAGTCCACCGCCGGTGGCCCGAGTTTCAGCTTTAGAGTTTCCCTTTTGCGGAGTTGCAACTTATTATTGAAAATTCGGGCTGCGGACATATTGGATTTATCACAAGAGGACAAGTGTCTCTTGTTTGTCTGGTTAACCCCGCGACTGTTTCGACACATACAGCAGCCTCCATTGACTTTGGCCCAATCGTAGACGCAGTCCAATACACCAGATTCTATTTCAAGACTATTCAGGGTACAAACTCCGAGCTCAGGGCGTCAGAATAATTGGCTGCCGAAAGCACAAGAGATGAAACAAGTTGACCACCTTATACTAGCACGTACTAGATAGCATTTTGGCTTCTTTTGTTTGGCTGATTATGCCTCTAGGACGATTCTTCCGTTACCAGCCCACCGAGGCACGCGGGTTCAGACATGGTCACGTTGTTCAAGCTCATCTCCATCACAGTATACTCACAGCGGGCACTCATCATAATATTGTGTCAAAATCAGGTACTTTTCTCTATGTACAATCAATCTATCGCATTCGTTCATTGAGCTCGAGCTCAGGTAGTCTATCGTCGCAGAAAAATTCAAAGATAACGCCCCGTTCCCCTATTCGGTACTGTTTTCCTTGGGGAAAACACTCAAAGCACGCCGGCTTTCATTGTCGCATCGCAAAACAAGAATCTGCAAAGACTTTTCGTAGTTGGTACAAGAGAGATCCGTTCCCGTACTCCGTCCGGTACTGTTGTGACAAAGGCCGAAGCAGACCGAGTGCCATTGACTCCTCGCTGAAAAAGAAGTTGTGATGACTTCTTCTGGGCTGGTAGCAGAAATCGTCATGCTCCTGTGGAAAAGGCCGAAGTACGCCGATTGTCGTGACTTCGCCTGATTGCAAAAAAGGGAAGAAAAAGAAAGAAAAAGAAGATGCGATCGCTTTTCCTGATGGCTGGCACAAAAGAAAAGGCTCATCTCGTCATGTTGGTCGCTTCGGCGCGACTTGACTAGTCATACATGCTAAAAGCCAGCTCTTCGAGGTATTCACGCGAACCCCGCGAGTAGGTCGAAGTGTCTAAGAGAAAGTCAGTAACGAAACAACACTCGCAAATCTCGAGCTTAACATACCTCGGATACGACCGACACCCAGCTGATCACCAACATTAAGATACCCCTCGGACAACTCAGCCTTGCTCTTCTCCACAACCGCCTCCAACTTACCGTCGCCCTTCCAGGCGCTGCGACACATAGGGCAGGTGACGTCCGCGCCGGACTTGTTTCGTGCCCACAGCTTAAAACACTGCGAGTGAAAGTTGTGGCCACAGGCCGCTGCACACCAGACAAGACTGGGCTTCTTCTCATCCTCTTTCTTGAGCTCGCAGTAGCAGATTGGGCAATCTCCCTCAATAGGCTTGCGCTTGTCGGACTCTTCCTGGGACTCGGACTGAGACTGGGACGCAGAGATGTCAGGTGCAGACTCAAATATGGACTGAAGCTCGGTGCTAAGAAGAGCTTGCTGGTAAAGAAGTTCGTCGGGCGCGTTGAGAATCTTCTTCATAACCTGTGAAGATTAGTATGGTGAAAAGAAGGCGAGGAGTGGAACTTACGAAGCAGATATGCTTACACTGCGCAAAGCCACGCATGTGGTGTGGACAAGTACAGGTGATGCGCAGCCCGATGTGGACAGTATAGATGTTGCCAGTCGAGCCCGTCATTTCGACATACTCTTCCGGGCCAGACTCAGTACCGATTCGAGTTCGGTTGAGGACATAGAAGCGCTCAGTCTGAGCCCGGTCGTAGACACCTTGCCAATGCTTCGGAGGCTCATCTCGAAACTTGCGAAGTCGCTTTTCTCCTCCAAGCTTCATCATCTTCTTGGCTGGAGCAACCTTCTTGGGCGTGTGGTCCTCTTCATCTTTGATGCCACTCGCCTCCTCGGGCTTGAAATCATCATCGTCTTCTTCCTTAGTGATCTCACTCGCCTTTCTTTTGTTGTTTGCGGGAAGCGCGGATAGGTTTTCCTTGGTGTCGAGTTCTTTCTTGACTCGGACTGCCTTCATAGGCTTCTCATCACTTTCATCGTCATCTTCCTCTTTCTTGATCTTGGTCGCCTTCCGTTTGTTGTTAGAAGCGGGCGCTGTCAAGTTTTTCTTCGCCTGTTTCTTGCCACGGACGGCCTTCTTGGGCTTCTCATCGTCACTTTCTTCTTTCTTGATCTTACTCGTCTTCTGTGTCTTGTTGGTGGAAAGTGGTGGAGCTTGGTCGTCCTTCTCGCTAACACCTGCTGGTGAAGGACCCGCTTGCTGCTGTTGGAGTGCTCTGGTGGCGCTCCGGGTCATACGTCGATTCTCAACGTTCAGAGCTGGTGTTTCATTTGCGCTCTGAGCGCCGCTCGAATTTTTAGAATTCATTTTGACGATCTTGAAGGATTTTCAGAATAAATAAAAAGTGTGGTGTTTGAGAGGAAAGAAATCGCTTTGGTCGCACTTACCTCCAGGGTATATGGTGAGTGCAGCACTTGGGTGTATTTATGACGACAAACGCCAAGTCACGTGTTAATATTCATCTCAACTTGCGGTCGCTTCACTCTCTTGACACTGCAAGGAAGTGACAGAAGTCGTTGTAGCTAAACATTCATTCATCTCGCTCAATTCTTTCTCCTCATTCAAAGAATGCGTTGCGGTTTGAAGAAAATGAATTGGCAAGGGTCGTTTCATCTCTGCTTTGGTCAATTGGGTCTCTGCTTATCTGGGCGTTTGGAGGCGCGGGATGTCACAACTGGGACAAAAAGAGATAGTAAAAGGACTCATGATATCTGACATGTCATTCACATTCACGCATTCACAAAAGATGTTTCATATAATTTGAAAGGAATTGCTCTTTGGCATTGATTTATCCTATCTTCTTCATCCACTGACCCCATCTCTTTTGCCTGGCCTCATACCGCTCATGATAGCCCAAAAAGAAAACCAGCCAAACGCCCCGGAGCTAGGGACCAACCCGCCCCTGCTCACCTGAGGGTACATATGCCCCACCGTATGCGCCCCCTATACAAAGAGAATAACAAAAGAAAGAAAACAAGCAGATTGATTGATGTGGTGTATACAGGCTGAGCCAGAAAGTGGGCTGCCGTTTTGAAATGGTTCAACGCCGAGTCTATGCTATGGCTGTCAAAGATTTATAGTATTAGACATGAAGGGAATATTGGTGTGTGGCCGTAAGATCATCGGAGTGATGGTATCATAGAAGGTCGTTTGGTTGAGGGCCGTGATACTGTCATCGAGGTATTCGGTGGTATATCGTAGTAAACCATGGATGTGGGTATCAAACAGTCGAACTTAATGGTGGAGGTAGTGATTGGCAGTAACGGTCATCGAGTAGCAATACATAATCGCACATTCGTCGCAGTGCCCGAGAGAGTCGCAAAGATATGCGCGCAGCTCTTAAGGCAAGGGTCGTCGGTGACTGGGATCGCGGGGTTGTTGATATCGACCGTGAGATTGTTGTTGTTGAGCAGTCAACCACTCAGTAGTTCCTGTTTGTCGACCAGGTTGCTCAGCAGGCAACTTGGTATCGCTTCCACTGGCCGCAGTGTGGTTTGATCCACCAGGAGAGCCGGGGACAAGATCGGTAACGGCCTGGGCAATTGAGGCAACAACGTATCCTCGAAGTTCGTTGTCCTCCCGGGTGTCTTCCTTCTCCAATCGGAAGCGCTCGTCCTTGTTCATGTTGGATCGGCGCATGTTCTTAATCTCTTGCATAACATAGAGAAGAACCTCTTCGGGGCATCGGTTACGCTCGGAAGCGTGTTGGTTCTTGCGAACGTATCGTCGAGTGACGTCGGTCGCACCATCAATGGAGAAGGCAATACAGTAAGACATCTTCTTACCCCAGCCCTCAGCGTAGAGACGAGGGTTGTCCCATGCCTCCTCGCAAGCGTCAACGTGAACCCATCGCTTCTGGTGGTCTGAGTAAACCTCAGTCCAGACGTGGTCTTCGGCGTTCCAAACCCATCGAACGCGACCACCAACAGCTCGGCAAAGCATGCTAAAGCAGTTGGCCCATTCGCCAACTCGTCCTCGGCGAGTCTGCAATAGTCGCCAGACATCACCGTATCGAGGGAAGCGTTCGTAAGCTCCGCAGTGTTGAGCAGAGCATCGATACAATTCAACCCGAAGGGCACCACAAGCGCTCTCTTCAGGCAGAGGGGCAGTCATGCCTTGGGCGATTGTGGGAGATAAGCAGGAGGGGCATGGAGGGTTGTTCACCCAAGTAAAGAATGAGCGCTTAAACCATCTGTTGATCGTGTTAGTCAATCTGTCCGAAAGGATGAATCGGATAGAAAATGACGTACCTTAATAATGCCCGAATAACGCAATCTTGGTAACCCCATTCAGGTTTTCGGCCATCGCCCATACTCTCAGCTTGAGCTTGCAGAACCTGAGTCTCTTCCTCGGCCTCGCCATAGATACGATCCAATGGGATGGTTTGCAAGGCCTCGTCAAGCAGACCAGGGTTCTCGTATTTGGTTGGTGTTAATGATAAGCTGATGAGGAGGTTTCTGAATTTTTGAGAATCACGATCGCCGGCAGCAGGAGGACTCGGGATCTTGGGGAGATGTCGAAGGGCGGAGTAAGAGGGAGGAGTAGATCCTTGAGCGGCTGACGGTTGGTTGTCGGCTGGATAAGGTGAGCTTCGCATGCGTGGGGATTGGTCTCCCAGGCTTGGAGAGCTTTGTCGAGATGTGTTTCGGAGATCGTTCATACGCTTGTCACGTAACAAGCCCTCAAACTGGACTCGAAGGTCTCGCGCCCATTCCTCGCCATATTCGCCCGCAGGCGTTCGTTGGCCCGCCATATTGAATAAGTAAGAGTTGTTAAAGTGTGTACTCGAACGAAGTAGTTGATGAGGTAGTTGAGTTAAATGATGTCGATGGGGTATCGTTGCCCAGTTACGTAGCCGGGCTGGAAGGTTGATAACTCAATCGTTGGTGTTGACGAGGTCCTTTGAAACCTCTCAAAAAGCCAATTTGTCGTCGTAATGTTGATCGTTAATGGTCGTCGTATGTAACGAAGTACGTGTCGATAGGCCCAATTGCCACGGTACACGCGTTGTCCTAGATGTTTGGTGTTTGATCTTCAGAGCAAACCTGCTGGTTTATGCCGCTGGTGATGCCGCTCGCTTGATGACTAAGAAATCGAATTCTTTTAGTCGTCGTCAATGTCGTCGTTTGTCCCGAGGTGAAGCTGGATTGCTTTCTCGTCGTCGCCGTTGATGAGATAAATGAGAGGAGTTGACGACTCGCGAAATTGCGAAAGCTGATAAACCGCTGCAAGTAAGAGAAACAGCACAGCACAACGCAGCACAGAAGAGGAGAGGCAGGAGCAAAGCAGGCGGCGATGAGAATCGAGGGTGGACCAGGGGAATAAAGGGAAGGGACGGGGTGTCTCGGGAGGGTGTGCGTCTTCGTTCGCTCTTGCCCACTCTGGGCCAGAGCCTACGATGGCAGTTTACGCGTCAGCAGTGAGCGCCACGGCCAATGAGAGAGACCGTTGTCGCTACAGGTGGGGGCCACTGGGCGCAGGGGGATGTACCGGTACAGCTGCCTCGTACTTGCCTTGCTGTTAGAAAACGGCTACTGGCTTGGTCCTGGCACTGAATTGATTGGTCTGGGCGAATGAGAGAGAATGGATACTCAGACCTTCCGGAGACAATTTGCAGCCTTCGAATCGTTATTTAATTACAGCTGTCTAGAAGCCTACGAATGTTGGTGCGCGTCGCTAGTTTTATTGAGGACGTGTAAGTTCAGCGGGAGCAATCACTATCGCAAAGACAAATTTGAATGAAAATGGGTCAACAGATCAAGTCCACGCAACAGATTCATCATCAAGAGGCGAACCTAAAGGGCCAATCTCAGCAGTGAGAGCGCCAACCCAGGCACCGCGAGGCACGTGTACGTAGACCTTTTAGTGATACCTACCGAGACAGGTGGGTGACAGAAGAATTGTCCTCCGAGGCTTAAATTGTCAAAATGAATTAGCCTAAGAGCTACTCTAAGCTGACATAAATTGACCAAATTATTTCGTCTCTTATATCTCTAGGGGTCAATTCTTCTGACACGCCGAGGAGAGACACTGCAGCAAAACACTTCCAATTGCGTGCGTATGTTCTTCCTAGGGCCTAGGGGAACACCGAACAGCGAAGACAAAGTGGCGCCTGGCCTAGATCTTCGTCATCAGCGAATTAGCGAGCGTCAGCTTTTCATTCGTGCGACTCTGGAACATGTCAGATGGAGAAAGGAACGACAAGAGGCGACACTGTTTTAATAAAATATGGGAATTTGTCTGAAAGAATGGGAAACAAAAGCGACAATCACCATCTCTATCTTGTGGCAATGCTGTATCAACATGAAGGCTCTAGGCTCAACGCAGTAGATGATAAGCGCGCGCGGGGAAGAAACCGTCCAGGTCGTGTCAAAAAGCATCGGCCGCTGGAGCGACGGAGACAATTCGACTGTGATAGTGGAGCTAGGCAGGCATTAGGCGTCCTGACTTCCTGGGAAGTCCTTGTGAGCGCAGAGAAGACAGAATTCAATCTCAATTACTTGTATCCAATATCGACACAATAAAGCCGAATATGGACAACAAGTCGGAAATAGCAACATGGAAGTCAAGATTGAAGGTTATTCACCCCACAAAGATATTGTGTTTCCCAAGAATGAGTTACCATCAAAAACCTGCATGGCCTATTCCTGAGATTTTTCTTCCGCTGAAGCGCCAGAGAAACGTCTCGAGGCTGCTAACGACCGCTGCAATTTTCTGCGAGTCACTCAGTCTAACCCTGGACCGCGCAGAACAAGTATCGGTACCTTGCTAGGTACGTGCCCCTCGTCGTGGTGGGCGATGACGAGGCAGTGGTGAGGTCCCTAAAAAGACGCCCGATCAGAAGCATCGTGGCACAGCCCATGACTTAGCTGCTTAGCCACGCTGCCAACTATTCTGTTCAGCAATGTTCTACAAGAGTATTGACGCACTGCCGCGCAACTGAGCCTGAACCTTAGATTATTGCCAGATCTGTGTAGATGATCGCGCTTATTTTCCCTGGGACTTTCCTGTAGGCCTCTGAGGTTGAATCTCGGGCTGTTTGACGATCACAGGTACCTAGCCACAGGTCGCGGTTAAGTGGCGGTGCATGTTATTTCCAGTTCCACACTGTCAGGACTGCTCTCCACCTTGACTCGCGGCCTCTCAGTCTTGTCCCTTGCAATTCCACTGCTTCTCCATCGTCTTGCATCACAATCCACTGGCTTGTTTGATCTGTTTCAACCTTTCCCTCCTGGACAATTTGAGATAAACACGGCAATAACTTTAGAACTCAAATTTTTTAGTCAGATGTGGCTAAAGAAGTGATCATTGGCTGCAGTTGTTGTTGGGATTGATACCAGATGAAAGACGATGGCCTCATTAAGCCATTGAACTCAGTCAATGACTTGTGACCCTGAAGATATCTCTCTTCAAATCTGCCGTGTATCAAGGGTCATTTCGGCTTGTATTGCCTGATGCCAAGCCAAAGCCTTGATACCTCTTGTTGCTTCATCTCAAGACTAGGGATATTCTTTGAGCACAGCACAGCACATCACACCGAAAACAAGAAGATGCTCAACAAAACTCCACAGCGATCTGCATTATATGTTTCTTCCTTTCTTCCGCATTCTTTACATGATACTGCTGATCCCCAATCAAACATGTCTTGCCTTTCCAAAACATTGCGAAATTGAGAGAAGCCATCTCGAGATTCGAATTGCCCATCCGGCCGGGTTCACGGGCTGGGCAATTCTTGGAAAAGAAGCTTAACTAGCTTTGGCCGGTCCCGTCTGCCATCGCGTGCGTTTCTGCCCCTGGAAAAAGCGGTCTCGACCAATCCGAGTGCAAGGAGATCTTGACAGCCGCTCACTCGCAGAGTCGCAGAGGAGCCAGAAAGAGAAACGCCCTGCGCCCTCGATTATTTGCCTTGCGTTTACGTGCTTGGTCTAGTGGGTAGCAGAAAACTTGAAGGCCCAAACTTAGGGTGACGGAAATATATGACCTACATGGACCAGAAATTGGCCTGAACTGGTGTCGCTTATTTCGTCTCTTACGTAGATGCACTCAAGTTTTCTGTAACCCTGACTGCTTAGCAACGTTACAGTTACAGCTAACCATCAACCCTGCCTTCTTAGGACGATCTTGGCGACGGGAGATTCGTGTCGAGGAAATAGCTTACCAGGGGTTCAATCGGAGCCGAATTCAATCCCTCCCTTTCTTCCGTTTCCCTCAAAACGCTTTACTAAAAATGACTGGCTGTGGTTTACTTGTCGTTTGGTCGCCAACATGTCGCTCAAATGGAGCAACAAACCCACCCTCTAGAAAATCGAAGTTGCAAGTTCAGGTCAATTGTTCTTGTCCAGTTACTCACTGCCAATCACTCTCAGTTGTGGTTTGCCGATCCTTTTTGTTGCGCTTACGACTGGGGCGTGTCTGGTAACTTGGTAAGACACCGCCAGAGCCAGACGAGGCCGCGTCATCTGGACGCTCCATGACATTGGCTTGCGTACCTGCAAACAACAATCAATATTGGATCTCAACTCTAACAAGCCTACGCAACGCCTATCTTCCCAAATCGCCACCTCCTGACCGCGACAATCCAATCTTTCAGGGCACTTGTGAATCTTCTGTAATTATTCTGGTGCTTTTCTACTTTGGTGCTTGCGACCCAGAGAACAGACCGACGTTGCCAAGAAGACCACAAAAGCCAAGTCAACGACAAGATCAGATTCCGAGGCTAAGCATTTCGCTAGTTTTGTGCTACGCAAGCTCTTTTGATAGACAGCCAGGACCAGCACAGCACAGTCATGACCTCAAGTGTGGTCCCTGACTTATGATCGCCAAACAGCTGCATCATCCAGAATCAGACAGAGATCTTGACCGTTCTGACTCTGAACTCAGCTTTCTTTTACTCATTGTTCTCATTGGAAAGTGAGACGGATCTTCCCTAGGATCAACTCAAATCTGACGCGGTGAACGATCTATTTCTCCTCTTGGCAGTTCAAAACCCGCCATGACGACGCTGAGTCTGGGGGATTACCTCGTGGATACGTAGACCTTCAACACACTGACCATAACTCAAACAACCCGTTCAGTCATTCATCCAAAAAGTACGAGTTACCGTTCAAGATGAAGTCAAGGTCACAGGGATGTCGGTACTTCACCAAAACCCTGCTTATCCATGTCATGAACCATCCTGCCATCTCATCTCATCCCGTCTTCCACTTCCCGAATGCAACCCGCCATTGAACCCAGGTCCCAACAATTAACCCAAGGCCCTTCCTGCCTTCTTACCTGAAGCCTCACTTGTGTCAAGCTCGGCCAAGATCCTTCTGCCGTCCAGGACGCGCGTTCGACGGGGGAAGACTGGGCCTATTTAATAATGCCTAGACATTTTCGGTAAACTTGTGCAACGGTTTAGTGTAGAAACTGGAGGCATCTTGTTACTTGATTGGTGCACTCGAGATGATCATGTAAGTTGAGAAATCGCTCAGACTGGGATTGTCTTCTCGTGACTCGTTCAGCTTTGGTCGGGCCTCAAGCTCATCTGATATTTGATATCATGACACTCCGATACGCGAGACATCTCCAACCCCCGTGAAACAGACGCTAGATCATGAGAACAAGGAAAATGCGATAGTTTGCCGATAGGACTGATTAAATGACAAGATCCTGATATGGCATGCTCACGATCGGGACATGGGTATACGTATGCAGTAGAAAGTCAATATCCCAACATCTAATTCGATAGCCGGTACGTTTGCACTCGCACATTGGCCTATGTAGCTAGTATAACAATCCAAATCTTCAAACCAGGATCATGCTTTTGAGTCTGGACCTTGTGAACGTCCATCCTTGCAACCACGCCGAACATATGCGTCTCCACGATCAAAACTCAGACAACATCACATCTTTTATCCACTCGTATGTACATCTCTGGCTGTAATCACCATTACTTCCTCCACTGCTCGACGTTGAAGTAGCTGTCGGGCATATCCATATCCCATGTTGGTCTCTCCACAAGGGCAACCTCGAGAGGCTGGTCCGCTGTGCTGATGGGCACAACACCAAAGATGGGTCGGTACTTGAAGGTCATCCACCAGCTCTTGCGTTCACCGCCAGTCTCGGCACCCTCATCTTTGCCCACTTCACGACGGTTCCGTAGTTGAGCGAGTTCACCTTCGGGCTGGTCCTCATCGTCACTGTTGGCATCTTCGGGGTTGGGAGCGTCTTCCATATCGACGTCCTCCCACTGACCGGCAGTGTGCTTGCGGATCAAGGAAGGCGCGATGGCACCTTGCTCCATTCTGCCACCGGCTCCGGTAGAAGGTCCTGTTCTCTTGCGCTTGAGGTTTTTACCAGAGGTAGCTGTGGCATCCTCGCTTTCTGTAGGCTTGGGAAGATCTTGAGCGAGATCAAGCATAAGAAGGAATGAAACACCGTAGATCCAAGCACGAGAGCCCTGCCAGAAAACTCCCTTGGGAAGATCGAGAAGATCCTGTACAGGAGCGGGTAGGTCCTTTCGAGTGTGTTTTCGTGACCAGGGTGTGAGACAGCCTTGTAGTGGGTGGAATAGCAAAAGGTTCCATCCCGAGGTGATGGCGAGGAGGGTGTAGTCATCGACCAGGTTAGATGGGCCGTTAATTCCATCGAAAGAGCTTCTGGGGGAGACCTTGGCCTGAGGGATATCAGCCGAGAAGGACAGGACCGTGGCAGCATTCTGCAACTTGGGCATTAGTTTGGCACCGGGGTTGCGAATCCACTTCTCAATGCCCTGCGAGGATTCTTCTTCCTCATCTGAAGAGTCACTCTCACTTGCGGAGGACGCGTCATCCTCTGACTTCTTCTCTCCCTCACTCAAGATCCAGGTGTCGATGTAGCCGGCAATATCGGACACAGCGAGCATCTTGGAGTCTGGGGAAAAGGCGACCTGTGTAATGGTCCTATCGTAGCTACCCATGCCTCCGTTGAGGATGTGACGTGGGATTTGTCGTCGTAAGCGAGTCAGTCGCTGCACTCTGGGCGAAAAGACGAGTGAAGTTCTGGGAGAAACAGGGTCGAGAGCGGCCATGACGACGCGAGAGCCTTCCTGGACTGCACAGAGCCACTGAGCGTTGGGTGACAGCTGCACCTTGATGGCGCCAACACCGGCGAGCTTTTGAGGAAGTTCGGCGGAAGAAACCTTGACATCGGAGGCGTTGATCGGATCCTGGTGCTCTAATCTGAAGGCCTTGACGTCGATAGCTGTAGAAACAACCAGGAGCGAGCCCTCATCGTCAATAGTCGCTGAAGTAATATTCGAATCTCCCTTGACAACGATAGTTTTGAGTAGCTTGCGGTTTTTGTTGATATCGATCTTTTTGTCGCTAGTCACCATATCGGTAGTTGACTTTCGAAGAAGCCAAATGTGAATCTCTCTCTCCCAGAAGCTGACGACGAAACGAGCCTTGGGCGCACCCAACAAAGGAGCCTGCTGTGGCAGGGCGGGCATCATGCGGTGGTTCTCGCGTCCCATCTCCTTCAGTGGAATAACGACGGGGTTAGCATCAGGGCCTGAATTTGAGTTAGCCATGATCTTTTTACAATTCAAGTTGATCTTACCTCCTGAAACAACAACGCTGACTTTACCACTCTCGAAAGAAGCCATACACTTGGCATCGTGATCGTGGTATCTGCGTCCCCAGACTTTGCCCCATCGCGATCCAGCGTTGGCGTTCTGCTTGTAAAGAATCGTTCGTCGGTCCATGCCTCCGCTAAGGATGGCAGTGCCATCAGCACTTGTTGCAAGACTGAGAACATCCTTCTTGTGGCTCTGCATTCGCTGTGTTTGGGTGTATGTCTTGCCATCCCAGATGCAAACTTGGCCAGTGGAATCGCCCGAAACAATGTTGCCGTTGGGAAGACACTTGACAGACCAGACAATGATGATGTCCTTAGCACCACCGCCGAGATCAGAGCCTAGTGTCATTCTGCGCAACATGTGACGCTTTTCAAGATCGTACGCTCGAATCGTGTTGTCGGAGCAGCCGACAATGGCAATCTTGTGCGACTGGAAGCAAATGCTGACCATCTGTGTCTTCTTGGTAGGCAATCGCAGCACAACTTTCTCGAATCGCAGGTTGTCGTCCTCAATAGAAAACTCGACCAGCTCACCGTCAATTGTTCCAGCAATGAGCTTAGTGCAGTCTTGGTCGAACTCGGCTGGCTGGGCAGCCATGCACCAAATGTCTCCATGCTGACCGCTGGCGTGTCGCTTTGGCCTTCCCGTCTCGAGATCCCATTCGGTGACTGTGGAAGTCCAGCCTATGCTAAACAGTCGTGACTTTCCGGGAACGACGCGTCCATCGCCGAGGTCCTGGTCGGGCTGGTTGACCCAGACGAGTCCATCAATGCTTCGATCCTTACCGCCAGGAATGATGAGCTCCTGGTTCCAAGAGCCATTCTGAGGGTTCCAGATCTCGATATCGCCATTACCTCGTCCGATCGCAAGTCGCGCGCGAGCTCCTTGTTGCGCCGAGCGCGCCACCGGGTGAGAGAAGGCGATGGCGTTGATGGCGGACGGCTTGTAGGGAACGAATCGACAACGATGGATATCCATTGTGACGGCGGTGTTCGGACTCTGAGGCCGAATCTGTAGTCGCGTAATGTTGAATAATTAAGTATTAAACTCGAAGAATGTCAAAAATCGGATTGGAGTGGTTGCGCGGATCGTGAAAAAACTTGTAACCGCCGCGTAGCCAGGCGTTATGATCCAGTACAGGAAGAAAAATCCTAGACTCGCGACGTTGCCCAAATTTTTTTTCTTGCAGGAAGTTTAAGGTGTGGTCATAGCGCCTCTAGTGCCCCTCCATAACCCACCTCTGGTAGCCGCGACCCAACCCCTCACCTTCCTTCAGCGCGTGCCCCTCTGCTTCTTTCTCCTGCGGGTTTCTGATTCTGGATCTCTTCTTAATGCGTCACATTTCGTCTTTTCTGGACCCTTTTTCTGACTCAACACACGTCGCAGAGTTTGGGTCGCAAACGTCATAAGGTTTAGCTCGCGACACTTACGGTTATAGCACGTCTCCAATCTATGATTCTGTCTTTTCTTCCTTGACAATACATGCCGCATCTTTCACGATATCCTTGACGTCGTCTCCGCATCTCCGAACTCAGCTCTCCAAGTCCCCACGACTCCAACTACAAAAGCCGAACCTTGCCCTCCCAGTACCTCCTTCGACTCGACAGACATATCTACACGTACTCTACACTCAAAACCGCAGTCATGGTTTTCAACAGCTCTTCGCCCTACCCTGAGGGCGTCATCTCCTTCCTCGACACCGATCTTTACAAGTTGACTATGCAATGCGCAGTCTTCAAGTTCTTCAAGGATGTACCCGTGACATACGCCTACACCAACCGAACCCCCGATAAGAAGCTGTCGCGAACCGCTTTTAAATGGCTTGAGGAGCAGATCGGAAGTGTGTGATGTTTGTCCTTAGTCGGAGCTATGACTAACCTTGATGTCCAGAGCTCGGAAACATCTCCCTTTCCACCGACGAGTACCTTTTCCTCAAGAAGCACTGCGACTACCTCTCCGAAGACTACCTGAACTTCCTCAAGGAGTTCCGCTTGAGCCCCCGCGAGCAAGTCGTTGCTACCTTTACTCCCGTTGGCGAGGACACTGGTGACGACACTACTGTTGGCGATGTCGACATTCAGATCAAGGGCACTTGGGTCGACACTATTCTCTACGAGATTCCCATGCTTGCGTTGACATCTGAGGCCTACTTCAAGTTTATGGACACTGATTGGAACTACGAGGGTCAAGAGCAACAGGCTTTCGACAAGGGACTTCAATTGCTCGAGGCAGGATGCGTTACATCTGAGTTCGGTACAAGAAGACGTCGTGACTACCACACCCAGGCTCTCGTCTTCAGAGGACTTGTCCAAGCTTCTAAGGAGGCCGAGAAGAAGGGTTTCCCCGGCAAGCTCTCTGGAACAAGCAACGTCCACCTTGCCATGCGCTTCAACATCCCTCCTGTTGGAACCGTCGCTCACGAATGGTTCATGGGCGTTGCTGCTATCATTGGTGATTATAAGCAAGCCACTGAGGTTGCACTACGACACTGGGTGGCATGCTTTGGCAGCAAGCTTGCTATTGCTTTGACAGACACCTTCGGTACTCAGGAGTTCCTGCGCGCCTTTACACAGCCTGTGCAAACCATCGAAGGTGGATTCCCAGCTGAGACCTTCAAGAAGGCTGATGGAAGCATGAAGACATATGCCGAAGCCTTCGCTGGCATTCGACAGGACTCTGGTGACCCTGCTGAGTATACCAAGTGGATGCGAGAGTTTTACGACAAGCAGGGTATCACAGACAAGAAGACGATTGTGTTCTCCGACTCACTCAACATCGAAAGATGCCTGGAGTACAAGAAGATTGCCGAGGACCTCGGTTTCCAACCTACATTTGGTGTGGGAACATACCTTACCAACGACTTTACCAACACCAAGACGGGCAAGAAGTCCGTACCTCTAAACATTGTTATCAAGATCAGCTCGGCGGCAGGCCGTCCAGCTGTCAAGATCAGGTAAGTTGTACCCAACTACAAGTATATGAGATGTAACCTAACACAAAGCAGTGACAACATTGGAAAGAACACCGGAGACAAGGATACTGTTGAGATGGTCAAGAAAGAGCTTGGATATGTTGAGCGTGAATGGAAGGAGGGAGACGAGACTTCGCGATGGGGTAAGGCGTAAAGGAAAAATAGACCAAGATACCAGGGCACCTATTGCCTATGACTGAGAGATCTGAATGATCTCGGTAAACAAAAAACAGACATTGGATAAGTAAGACAGGATGAAGCTATGTGACGTTGGAAGGCCTAGCATGCTGCGTAGTAGAAGCATCATCGCATTTAATTGAGTAGGGTATATATGGCCGTTGAGATGGCCTGCTGAGTGGCGATCTGTATCACTTCCATACGCCAAACACCTCCATCCAGATCTCACTTCCAAAAGAAAGTTATGACTCCAACGGAGTCTCAACTAGAGGTGTCAAACCAACCTCCACCCTTGCCCACATTATACACTCCTTCCACTCAGGCAAACTCATAATCTCGTGCCCCGCCTCAGGCTCCCACAAAATCTCCGAGACCTCATCAACCATCTTCTTTCCAAACGTACCAACCCACCAAGCCATCTTGCCCAACTCATTAAGCTGCACGCCCCAAAACATGGTGATCATTAAAGCCACAGGATCAGAACTCTTGAGCGCTATTCCGAAATCTCGCCCTGCGAGGGCGGGAAAACCAATGGCGATGCCCTTGAAAACGTCTTTGGAATCTTCTGTGAAGCAGGTTTGTATCGCGGAGAGACTGGGGCGGTATGAACTGGATACTTCACTTGGTGTTTCACAGGCTTTGTTGACGATGACCGAGAGATTCTCAAGTGTATCTTCTGTCTCTGTGCCCAAAGATGTTGGTGTTTCGGTTTGAAGCTGTGTTCGTAGCATTAACGCTTCTGTGGATCTTGATAGAGCTCCTGATATGAGAGCGTCGAAATGTTGATCTGCGATTGAAGCATTACCCATGAGTAACTCCCACAGCGTGACCAGACGCTCAAGCACACCCTCGTATAACTCCTCGAACGCAGTGCACTGTCCAAGAGCCATATTAATAGAAATAGCCAGAAATGAAAACATAAAGACCTTTTGCGCATTCTCCGCATTGACATCTTCCAACTGCGCTCTAAACGAACGACTCGCTTTATCATAATACTCAACCGCTAATTTCGCATAATACTTTTCATAATCCTCCTCCACAACCACAGGACCTCCACAGAGCACGATTTCGAGCGCGGAGAAAGCAAACATGCCCTGAAGGAGATACTCATGTTTAAGAGCCCAGCGCGGCATGTCGTCTTGAAGCCATTGGTTATCTTCGGGGATGCTGGCGAGGGATTTGTAGGTTGATGTTGACCAGCGGTGCATGAGTTCTAGCTCTAGTCTGCGGCGGGTTTCGGTGGCGGGGATGTGGGTTGTTGGTGAGGGTAGATAGGAGCAGTCTTCGAGGGAGCGGGCGAGACAGTTTGTGCATGGGGGACCTTGTTCGTCGCACTGGATTGTGAGTGAGTGAGTTGGTTATGAGATGAGATGAGATGGTGAGAGTGTTACCTTTATGTGACGCTTTTTGCAGTTTCGACAGCCGTGGCGGGATTTACTGTGAGTCTTTCGTTTCATCATCTTAGGTTTATGAGATTATGAGATCGATATATTAAGGGTCTCTTAATGGTGTAGGTAGTTTTATGGGTGATTGCGCTTCTTGTATGAGAGTCGGAAGTTATTAACATGAGCTTGAGAGTGACTAGAAAGGATGAAGCCTAGAATAGGTAGTAATTGTGGCTGTGCTTACTGCTTGTTTAGTCCTCGTCGACATGGTCAGTCTAAGGGCGACGAATGAGATGTAACTATATGAGCATCAACACTATACAGGATCAATAACGTTTAATTGGGATTATTCATGTTAATATCTGTTGAAAAGGATTGCCGTCAACGTCAGTCCATCAATCTATTATAAGGGTCGCCGGTATAATATGGCTCAATTGATCCCTGTCATTCATTCAGTCATAAGCTTTAGTATCTATTACAGACCATCCATCTACTTCATTCCTTTCCCTTCTCATTGACTTGTATGACACCATCTCTGTGTCGTCGTAAATGCTCCTGCGCACATCAAACTCTCAAGTACCGTACCCAGCATCCCGCCAGCGATGACACCCGCAGTCTCACCAGCCCCTACAACCTGGAGACTAAACTCCAGATCAACATCACTCGCGTGACTCTTCTCATGAAGAACTTTGTCGAAAACAATCATGTAGACTGCACCCCCGCCTATTCCAGCGCCGAACGCGAGTAAACCTATGACCGCTTCTGTCGAGGATACGAGGAATATCGAATTGGCGATTAGAATGAGCGCCGCAGCGATAAGAATCGTGAACGAAGCTCTGAGACTACTCAGTCGGAAGAGTAAAGTATGTGTTCGAGAAATATAATTGCCCAATTGAAAGGCTAAACCGTAGGTAGTAACAAATGAGAAAAAGGTCGCCGATGACTCAGGAAGAGGTAACGCTCGTGAGATTCCGGGGTACACAAGGGCCTGTGCCGCAAAAGCTCCAAATAAGGGAATCATAAACGGCCGGACCGTAGCTTTCACAAGATGAATGCGGTTTCGCGTACTCAGTACTCGGGATAATTGCTGAACGGGATCCGGTGAAGCATCTTCCACGTCGCCTTTAGAGAAACTCTGCTGTGAAAGAGGATAATTGACCGGCGCGTCGGGCAGAACAACAAAGAATGCCACCAGCATAGCGCCAGTAAGAACATAGATGCAATCAATAAAGTCGCGTAGAAACGACTGCATCCAAACAGTCAGCACAAAAGGCAGGATGGCGCAGAATACAGCTCCTGCGCCTACGCCTGCGCCCCATCCTGCAAGACCGACACGGCCGTAATATCGTAGCATTCCCAGGAATGAAATCTCCATTGCTGCGGAAGACGCAGAAGCTAGTACTGAGGTCAAGATTCGTAATGGAGGCGCAATGTTGGGCGGAGTGGCTTTTGTTATGAGAGCCACGATTATCCATACTGCTCCAATGGTGAAAGGGCGTACCCAGTAGGGAAACCGGTGAAGAACATTAGGAAGAAATAGTTTTGTGAGAAGTGCTGGGAGAGTCTCGATGAGAAGAACTATCCAGCGTGGGTAAGGAATGATGAGATAGTTTGCCGAGTGTACAACGAATGGTACAATCGCATTGACAAAGCCTGAAGTCGTCAGTAAGTGATCTTGGTAAGGGACTTGAGAGCTTACCAAGGAGTGCGAAACCGAAATATGTTTGCATAGTGACACTCAAGTGTCTATTCTTCGAGTAATCCATCTTGTTTTCATCCTCGATTTAAGCAAGGAGAAAGGAAGGAAAGAAACGGGAAATAAGAATATAGAATAAAAAAGGAGACTGTCTTGAAGCTATTATAAAAACGTAAATCTTATCTAACCGCCGACAAAGGCCCAGTTCTAGAACGCCGCCCGAGGCTATAACTATTACATACCTATACGAGCCAGCCCGTGCCCCATCTCCATTTCCATTTCCTTTACCCCTGTAACTGAATCATGTCTGTCACGAGAAGAGACGACGAATCAATTCATCAGCAGTGTTGAATGACGCGCCTACATTGGATACTCTCAAAAACCTGTCAAGTCTTGAGAGGTCGCACGTGGGGCTAAACTTACAGTACAGGTAGGGGGCCACGGTGTCGGATGATTGGCTGTTGCGTATCAACGGTCGCTAGCTTGATGGGATGATCTGCGCTGCATTGTTCTTTGCAGGGGGCATTTGTACGACAAGACACTACACTACCTCAGTACCTGTGATGAAGATCAAGATACAGATAGAGAAACTAATATTCATCATGTGGTCTCAACAAGAACTGTTTTCTTGTGCCAAGATGTTTTCATCTAACAACTCTCAGAATACAATGCTGTCATGACTTCATCTTCACTACCAAGTCATTCACCCAGGATGAGAAGAATCCCCAGCGCTGATCCAGAAGATGCATCATTCCCATCTGCACAATCAGCGAGACCACTTCTATCTCTTTTGAAACCATCATCTTTTATTCCTCGGTATTTAAAGAGCTTTAAATGGGTTACTATAACCTTGACCTTCATAGTCATCTCATGGACGACTTATATGGGAGTTGTAAGTCAGTAACTGCACTTCTCAGGATAGCAGCTGATAGAAGTAGTTTACGCAACCACTCAACCATGTTCTCGGTCATAGTCATGATACACCAACTCTCTCAAAGACAGACCTAACAGCTCTGGCGTCTCCTCAACGCCCCTCCAAACATAACTCTCGTCGTCTTCACCTCTTCATGCCAGCCGACTCACCACACATCAACCTCTGCAAAACCATAATGTCCGCAGTAGCAATGGGTTATCCAACACCCATCCTTCTCAACTGGAAACGCGAGTTCAATAGACCTGCGTGGCACTTTGCAGGAAGTCACATCGCCAAGCTGGAAAGTTTACTAGCAGCTATCGAAGTGTTACTCAAGACAGGCAGTGAGGATGATGTTGCGGTTATGGTGGATGCATATGATCTGTGGTTCCAACTCCCGCCTTCTGTGTTATTGGAGAGGTATCATCGTCTTAATCGTGAGGCGGATGATAGAGTGCGCAGACAGTGGGCAGAGCTCAACATCAGCGCTGACTTTCCTATATCGCCGCCGAAGCAGGATATCATCATCACCACAGCAAAAGATTGCTTCCCAGACGCATACTCCGGTTCTAATCCCCACTACGAACACTGGCCTGAGTCGCCTATGCCGAAAGATATGTACGGCCCCGACACCGATAAAGTCCCCTGGTCTTTCGACCCAGCACGCAAATACAAGAACGTTCGTCCAAGATGCGTAAACAGTGGTCTCATAATGGGTTCTCTGGGCGCTTTGAGATATGCGCTACAAAGATCGAAGGAGAAGATCGATACCGTTACAATGAAGGGACGACAACTTTGGAGTGACCAGGCTCTTATCGGCGAAGTCATTGGGGATCAAGAGATTTATCGTGAGTGGGTGAGGCATCTTGGATCATCATGGAATGGCTCAGCAGCTGTCAATACTCCCAGTCATGAAATCCGTAAAATTGCAGATGCAGCACTCCTTGGTCAACGATTCGAATTCGGTATTGGTCTGGACTACAACTTCACCACCGCACCACCAACGTGCTCATCCGAAGAAGACGGTTACTTCGTACATCTTAGCAACGAAGTCAACATTCACAAAGAATCTCAAAAAGCAGGTGTCCCCGGCCCTATCCGTACGAATGGTATACCACCTGAAATACAATCCATAAACGACACTATCCTCTCATCTATAAACTGGGGCGCAATCCCTCTGTACACAGATTTCTTCTTCGGCACAACACCCATAGCAATCCATCACAACGCCTACGTCAATGGTCTTAAGAAATCTAGACTAAGGGATTGGTGGGACAAGATGTGGTATCACGCACAGCTGCGACATCTCATCACCCAGCGCCTCAAGTCCCCCGTCGGACTGTTGGCCGAACTAAATGATGAAACAGACAAAATCGTGTACACAGCACCACAAGAGTCCAAACCACTTGTGTTCAGCCCCCTAGCGCCAAATTTCACGCCGATAGATTGGAACGTGGTATGTCAAAAGCCAGGACACGGCGTACCTTGGCACGAGGAACTATTCAGCGACGACAAAGGTCCTCTGGAAATACCACGAGAATAAGAAACTTAAGCATGTGGACAATGCTGCATTACAAATCACGGTTTTAACATAGAATACCGGTGGAAAGTCCGGTTTTTAATCTACAATGCTACGCGCCACACCCTCGCAATCATGTCTGTGATAGTACTAGACGGGAGCCTAACCCCGCGATCTGCCAGATGACAAACGCCATCGCGTCAGTTGAACACAAGGTTAGGATGCAACCCAGGACTGTAGATCAGGGGTTCTTTACGCCCGCTGGTGAACTCTAAAGTAGAGCCTCTATTTCCTGATGCCTTGGAGTTGGGATTGACGACCCATGGACTTGGGACGGTGAAGGATGTTGGTGGATGCGATAAACAGCCAATACGTCACAGGGCTGATTAGAAAGAAGAGGGTGTTGAGATCTTTGTATTCAGAATCGACATGGCTACATCATCTCAAGTTCGTCAAAGGTCAAGGAAAGCCCCAATCTATCAGTTAGGGTATATGACCACAAAACACCATCCCAGTACAAACTTTCAAACCCAAGTGCCAATACCAATGCTGGTGTAACAGCTTTAGATGACTGTGTATCATGAAGCTTCTTCAGATAGTCTCACAATCTCACAGAGACTTCGCACTAAAATCATATCCATCTCGTGTGGTTCGGCATCCATGATTCTCTCCTCCGCAGTACCATTCTCTGTGATCATCTTGGCAGTGGCGATGAGTCTGGAGATACAGCGAAGTAGTCCTGACTCGATGTTTCGTGTCGCGTTATCTTGAGTGGTTACAGTTGATGGCTCTTCCTTGTTGAAGCCAATGGCTGTAAGTGGGGAGCTAAACTTCCTAGCAAATCGGCCAAGGTTGGGCGTGGGATTCGCCTGAGGTGCGCTAAGCCCAAGAAGTGAGGCGGCTTTCTTTGGAATGTTTTCGCCTTGTGACTTCGAATCTGCGATCGATGCTCGTTTGCCAGAGGGCTGGTTGCGGGGAACTCGTGAGACGTAGTTGTAGGCCACGATGTGGGCATACAGAGCATCACAGATGTAATCTGAGCAACCAGGAAACACATGTCGCAGCGGAGCCCATGGGATTGGGGATGCGACGGCGCCCGAGGAGCTGTTACTATGATATGAGTGTAACCGGTGACGTCTAGCGGCACTTGAGTCGCGACCGTGTGAGACGACCTTTTTCCAGATCGACCTTCGAGGGTGTGAAGATGATGAGTCGGATGTTGGGTCAGCCCAGATGTCTGCCGAAGGATTTCTGACCTTCTTGGAGTACGATCGGATCGTTTCTGTGGTCAAGCTCGAAGACAACAACATTGTCTCTGGGAAGCAAGCAATTGAAACTCTGAGCGTCTCGACGATCTCTGGAGGAAGAGGCACTGCCTTGACCAAATCGTCATTAGGAATCTGGGGGAGAGGGGGATTTGAACCATCCAGCCATGATTCGACAGTTGGTAACGGAGAAGGTGGTGGTGTCTGCTCGATATAGACTGTATCCGGGCGGGACAATGGTGGGGGAGGCGGGCAATGGTCCATATATGTATCTTCGTCCTCGATTTCCAGCTCAATAGATCCAAAGTCTGATTTTAAAAGGATTGTGTTATTGTCTGTCTCGTCGCGAAAGCGTTGAGTAAAGAATGATGAGTTGGTGTAACCAAAATTATCGGGGCTTATCCGCGAATCAAACACGGGCGTTTTGAGTCTTGGTGTTGTATCCAATGAATTTGTCACACTTGTGAGAGATGTTACTCGAGGAGGAATGACCGGTGAGTCCAGGGATTTTGCTGACTCTTGTCTTCTGTGCTGTTTCAAGCTGCTCTTCGAAGATTCATCGATGCAGGAACATGCTCTATGTAGACGAGGCTGTGGAGCTTCCATCATGACTGTGATGTCAAATGTTGACTCCATATTTGGTGGTGTTGGTGGCCTTGGTGATAGAGCAGCCATTCCCTTTGGCGAGGCTAATTGGCCTCGAATTTCAGGTCGCGTCTCTTCATCGTTGTCGCTATCTGAATCAACATCAATCCAGCTGTACTCATGTCCTCGCTCGACAGGTGATAGACTTTTCGGTGATGGTAGGTTGCCGCTTCCCGAGGTGAGTGATGTTGCTGCTGTAGCTATGGAGTGCCCGCGGGCTTTGACAGAACGGATGGGGATGCCTGCAGAGGACTCCGTCGATGAAACTGATTCTTCATCTGATTCCTCCTCGGCTTGCCGTCCTTGGTGTTCGAGGAACGACACCATTGACTGTCGTTCTTTTATTGATCCCAAGTTTTGTACTCCCACAGATCCTGATTGGTAAGGAGAGTTGAGAATTCGGCTGGGAGATGATATACTGCGATTGCTGATATGGTTTTCTGTGAACCAGACTGGTGATGTAGGCATACCGGCAGTCATGTTCTTTGATTCAAAGAGCGGGCTAGATCTTTCCAAGTCCCTGACTAACATCTCTGGGAAACAATCCATCATATCCTTGATAACGTCTCCGTCAAAAAGTATAGGTGATGTGTCTGGGCGTGAAGTTGGTAGTGAAAGAGGTGACAAGCCTGTGATACTCGAGATCGATTGTCTTTCGAAGAGGTATAAGGTGTCGCAAGTGAGCGCGAGCCCTCGAAGGAGAAATTTGGGTCTTGTCTGTATAAGTAGATGGTCGTTGGAATCTTCAGGGGAGCACAGACATGAAGGCCGGGGCCAGGAATCACAATGCCAACGACCAGAGACACGATTATTGCCGTGATTCACTGGTTTGGCATCTAGATGCAGACAGTCTCAAGGGACACGGTAACGCTTATATGATTTGACTTGGACTGGAACTTAATCGCAAGCCAACAAGAAATAGTGGATATAAGAGTGGACATGCAGTGTGAGACAGGTATCGGAGGGAGGAAGTAGGGTTATTATGTTGTTGCCGGTAGATCGTATCGTTCAGACCATCACTGAGTACGTACTGTATCCCAACGTCAAGCTACATCCATGTATGAGATCAAGAAACTGGGCTGCAATGGGCAAGTCCCGTTAAGAAGGGGTGGGGTTTGTTGCACATGGCAGAGTCCAGGTAACCAGGGACGTGATACTTCAGACCTGGCAATAGCCACAGCTATGGCTCTGGTCCCGAGTGAGTTGAATGCAACTAACGGCCGAGCCCTGACCAAAGGAATGAGGTGGGAAGCTGAGTGGCGTTGACGGGAGACGTGATGGTTGCGCCGCGAAAAAGCAAAACAACAGATTGGGTGTTCTCAGTTGTCTATCCTGTACCACCAAGCATCACCGCAGCTCTAGTGGGCCTTGACCAAAGTTTGAACGCTGCTGATCCCTGACTTGATCAAGGAGGACAAGAACATGATGCGCAAGGGAGGACAAAAAGGGCATCGGGCAATGTTCCACACCCCAAGCACTGTAACCTCCCAGCTCGGGATTCTGGATCTGTCGTGATAGGTCTCCACTAGGATTATTATGAAAGTGAATACGCTCCTAGCTTTCACAAGAGTCTCAAGCGGGCAAATACTGCGAACATCCGGCCGCGAACGCTACCTGAAAGCCAGCGTCAATGCAGCTGACTACCGAGGTCAGAAAAGAAAGCTGAATACACATCCGCGCTCGGACAAGCGTATTCCGGTGTTACTGTGTGCCAAGTCGTTGTCAACAAGGGTGTAAGTCCTGTGTTGGCTAAGCTTGTTGACACCAATAGATTACCAATTCTGCGTCACTGGGACTGAAGAGGTGCGCGAGTTGGTGGACTATCCGGGAATAGCAGAATGCAGTAATTGATGGTTCTGATCACAAAGTGCCACCGGACGCGATCAAAGACATTGAACATCTTCGCCCGATTAGCTTGAAGTTGGCGTTGGTTCTGTGGCTGAAACGGAAGACTGGCATGCATTCGAACTCTGATAAGTCTAGGCCACAAGATAATGGCAACAATTAAGCTCCAGAGACTAGCCGCACGTTGTTCGTAATCGCACCGGGGGGACGAGTAGTGGTGGGATCTGTAAGCAGGGAGACAACAATGCTAGTGATCAATATTTCAACGTCGCCAGGGGATCGATGCGATGCGATGTGCAGATGCGGAGAATCCAGGCATATCTGACAGGCCGACCTGACAAGGTAGGGGGGGCTGGGTATCTGCGGGTGTAGCATTGGATGTAAGGGGGATCATAACCGGGTCTCCAAGGCTGACATGCGTGTAAAGCGTTAGGCTTATCAGATTCCACATGGCCATCATGAAATGTTCCTGCAAAGAAAGTGACGAGATGGGCGCAAGTGATATCACTTGTCAAGCCCAGCTGAGGCCATGTGTTTTCATGATGAGGTCAAGCGAAGCGATCTGTCACTTCTAAGTTCTGTCAGATGGAGATCGCTGGCAAGGTCTGGATTCGCTTAAGAATCCCCTGGGCTGGTGCTCCATTAGAGTTGACTAGCGTTGGTATGTGAAAGATGTTCCTAGAGTGACGCAGAACGAGAAAGAACAAGAAAAAGGATGCAGCAAGAGACACTTTCAGTAGTGGTGGTTTAACGGCGGGCAAGACATCAGTCATTTTCTTGGAAGTCGATTGGCGTGGAGCGATTAGAGAGGTAAGGGATGAAAAAGGATGAACCAATAATGCAAGAAGTAAAAAGCAACGCATATGCAAGGACACGAACCGCCTGGTTGATGGTGGTGGACGGTAGACAGCTCCTTCCCTCCTGTATTTTGGACATTACAGTAGGCAGGTACAGAAGGGGCAGGTGCTGAATTGCAGTCTTGCTCCGTGGGTTGAGTGCACCTTCTCGCTTGTAATTCCAACCACCGTTGCAATTACCTCAAATCGGCCTGGGTTTAGCAGGCAATAACCTGAGCACTTTCATGATTGCTCTATAAACTGAGAGCTTAGCTCAATCAATTAACCATCACAAGGGACAGGTAATAACCGGGCAACACAAGCTTAGATCCTAGCTTCCACTAAACGAGAAGCTTCAGATCTTCCCGTTCCTGTAGTTCCTGTAAACCCGTCTAGATAATACAGTGCTAATGATCTCGTTTCAGCATCGTTTACACAGTCTCACACTGTCTAGACGTACTGTCTGTCGCGCTAATCGACGCTCGCCGCTTACTCACCGCCCGCGGCTGAATTTGGCAGTAGCTTCATCAAAAAAAAAGCAAGCAAAACTTCGCGGCTGCCAAAAGAACGTCAAAGCTCGTGCATAATTTAGCAGCAAACAAAGACAAAGAAAAGTCCTTTCTGCACCCTTCCCTTCTCCTGCATTCAGACAAACACACTAGGAATCCTTCACCAGACATTTCGTTTCGTTTCACCTGCGTCTTGGCCCAGCAAAATATTGAGTGCGCCTAGACCCTTCAAAAAGTCACTGGAAAAACTGCAAGGTTCACTCTCATTGGTCAATTTTGCAACACCAGGCTGTAAGTGCTTGTTCAAGTTGGCTATTTCACTTCAACAACCAACGGATCCGTTCTCCCGGTGTTTGCTTCTTCTACAGCGCTTCCAATTTCCTAGAACGAAGCCGTTGTAGAGCAAACTGTACCCTCGCTTTGGACAATTCCGGCTGCTCGGGCTCTTCCCGCGTCCATACTTCCGGCGACTGAGCCAACAAACATTCCTCAATTCGGCCCGCCAGAGTTTTGATAGGCCCTTTGATCTTTCAGCCTTGTACGGGCATACGGCTGAATAGTTTATTCTATTCGAAACAGAGCATTGACCAGACGAAACAATGTTAACTCAAGAGTTCATCTCGGCCATTTCAGGTCCTCCTCTTGCTGCGAATACTGCCATCTCTAAGGATGTCGGCATTTATGCTCACTCCCTCACACCTTCTCACACTATCAAGCAATCTTTCAAGAAGAGTTCAGCCCCTGTCAACGGCCTAGCCGTCAGTCAGACTCACATCTTTACCGCTCAAGACCAGAAGGCTCATGTTCACGTCTATTCCCGTCAACGTGGCAACCAAGAGGCTCTTGTACCTTTTCCCGAAAGGATCCGCAGCTTGGCCCTGGCCGGTCAAACATTGGTGGTTGGATCTACCGAAGGTAGACTATTTCTCTGGGAGGTTAGTTGGTCTCAGTCCCGTCACTGCCCCGTTGCATGTCGTACACACTTACATCGCACATGAATATTGACAACTGATTTAGACCTGTACCGGACGACAAGTGTCTACGCCGCCTTGTCATGTCCAGGCCGTCTCATGCTTGGCTGTAACGCCATATCACATTCTTTCAGGATCCGATGACTCCAACATCAACGTCTGGTCGATAGCACGTCTTCTAGAATCCGATACTCAGCTGGACCAGGAGCCCGATCAAACACTCTCTAACCACCGAGGTGCCATCACAAGTCTAACTGTCGGACCTGGCACCAATCCGGAAACCAGCATATGTGTTTCTGCCAGTAAGGACAAGACATGCATCATCTGGAATTACCAAACTGGTCAGCTTCTCCGTACAGTGCTGTTCCCTAGCTTTCCCCTTTGTGCTCGTCTCGACCCAAGTGCTAGGGCTCTGTTTGTGTCTTCAGAAGCTGGAGCTGTCTATCTTGTCGAGCTATTTGGTGGTGACAAGCCGTTGCTTGGTTCCCGCAGCACGGAGCTGCCGTCTATCGTCGTACAGGTCAACTCCCCACTAGCTGTCTCAGATCCGGAACTTGGACAACCATCGTGTCTTGCTCTCACATATGATGGTACTTCAATATTGTCCGGACACACTAAGGGCAAGATCCTACGCTGGACTCTGGCTGAGAACGCCCATCCTACAGAAGTTGCCAATCTCAATGCCTCTGTTACCAACCTCTGTTTCATACCTCCACTGTCAGCCGAGCAACCGACCAAGGCCGTCACCATCGTGAAACCGAACCTGAGCCAAAACCGATACAATTTTACGGCCCAATTAACGACGGATCTCGGAGAGAAGACAAAGGTTGATCATCTGCTTGAGACCAATGGATTTACTTCAGAGTCACTTGAGACAGCAATTTCATCTATGACGACTCCTGCAGGCGATCAACAAGATGAAGAGCTGGCGAGACAGGATGCGCAATTCCGCGCCATCATTAACAACTGCAATCTACTTCAAAGCCCATCTAGTTAGACGTTACTGCAAGCGCATGCCCTTAGAAAAGTTATGGTCAAAATTTAATGTAATCTATCAAGAGTACATACACTTAGTGCACAGTCGAACCTCGTTTCGGAATGGTTCATGTTGCTACCCGTCCCTTCTTTCTCAGCCTCAATGCCTAATGGCTTCCCATAGCACGCTGCACTACACATGTCGCTGGCCTCGTTCATCATTCTCTTCCAACTTACCCATCCTGGTGTAGCAACATCGTACGACAGGTTGCACAAGTATCACAACTCAGATTTCTTGGGAGAGGCATTGGATGTCATTGCCTTGCTTCTCAAAAAGACCCAGATCCGTAGTCGGCCTCGTGGGTGCCGCAAGCCGCATCTCACCGGTCCGGAGTAACCTGCATCGCATCGAAAAGGTCTCGCATCAAAGTGTGGCTGCTTCGACGCAAGGGGCCATCGAGATGCAGGTGATGCCCGTATGCGCTAGTAATGAGTTCCATATGCAAGGGGTTCCGGAACTCTTTGGCGAGCGCAACATTTGTCACTGAAATGGACTACTCTTCGTCTCGATCCGATATACAGGGTGTACCGACCTTGGCCATAATGGGAGGGACATGCAGCATGGGGAAGTCCTGCCATCGGATGCAACCAGGGTTATTTTCTGATTGATCATAGTCACGTAGTCAATTATGTGGAGGCCTCGTTCCCATTAGTGACATTCATCGCCAACTTCCACGACTTCCCTTGCATACGGTTCTCGTCTCCGTCCCGACCGCCACAACGGTGACCATTGCAGCCGAAGAGAAACAGCCTCTAGGCCCGAGACAACACGCGCGAGTGAAGAGGCCTTCATATAGAAGCCTGTTCTAGATGCTTGAATTCAAGCCGATCATTTCTCTCCTGCATCACAATGAGGAGGATTGGCTATCGAGTGGAATAGTATGCAGCTGAAATACCTTAGGGTTCAAGACAGGTGGCGGGAATGTCCGTTTCTATCGAATGTAAGGGATATGATAGTTACGAGAAGTTTACTTGGCAGGATGGACTACATGATAAGATATTTCGCAAGGTTTTTGCTCTGTGGACAAGAGGTTGAGGTCGAGGATGGGAGACATTTTGTTGGTGTAAGTGGCTATTAGGTAACGAACAAAGTTGACGGTCCAGTTCCTTGCAACATTGAGGAATCCTGAATACTTACAGAACCAGTGGTTGTGTTGGAATGAGATATATGTAGTTCATCAAGGGTTCGTTATGTTATGTAGAGCACATATCTAACCTGTCACTGATGAATATGCATTGCCAATGATAACATTCTTGGTTGGGTTTCTTGATAGATCTATAGGGTAATCAGAATCACGAAAGCTTTCAATGCTCTCAAGAGGATAGTAAAGTGATATGAACGATTAGATACTGCCAAAGTAAATTTCAGCTAGACTCGAGTGATTATGCGTCCAGGCTTGCAGGCTGAGTGGTGGCATGTCCAATTGTTGAATGCTTCTTCAAACAATGAAATGGATGCCGGACAGCTTGGTACAGCTTCAGGGGAGTTATCGAACTTGGAAGATGAGAAGAACAGAGTTCTTGGACTACAATATGAAGCTCAATAAGAGAGAATAAAATGCCAACAGTATGACCTTTATACTATCTTTCATGAAAAACCATGGATTTTCTTATCCGATTGTTGAATTTCCCGATTATCACGGAGGTAAGTGCCGACTGATAAGAGTTATACACACTGTCCGAACCGCATGATTTCTGTTATGCAGCACAGTACAAAACACTTACCCCGGAAAAGCCGGCCGGGGCGGCAAATTTCTCCGCGCCGACTAACACCGAGCTCGCAGTGTTGAATGTCTTGCATCATCGGACACCTCCAAGCCCGTCGCAAATCTAATTTGTAGCCGTTTCCTCAACCTTCAACCCACATCAAATGTCTGTCGCCAATACAATCAAGGGAGACATGTCGCAGCAAGTTCGATCACTCGTGAGTTTCCCCCGCATTGGGTCCCCTCAGCCTGCAGGGATTATGGCATTTTCCAAAATATGCATCATGGCTAACGGCGAATTTTGCGCAGTACCGCCAACTATTACGGCAAGGCTCGCAGTTCTCTGCGTACAACTTCCGCGAGTATGCGAAGCGACGCACGAGAGATGCTTTCCGAGAGCACCAGGGCGAGCAAGATAGCCGGAAGGTGCAGGAGTTGGTCCAGCATGGAATCAAGGAGCTTCAGAGCTTGAAGGTGCGTGGTGGATGTGTATCGCTAACGTGGGCGAAACGCTGACAAGTGAGCAGCGACAAACAGTCATCAGCCAGTTCTACCAGCTCGACCGGTTAGTCGTTGAGGGCGGAATCTCTGTAAGTCATATCCTCTGGGTTATATATCTGGTATACTGACTCCAGACAGGGCAAGCAGACAGGAAACAATCAAGAGATCTTGAGACAGAAGGAGCAAGGGTGAGTGAAAAAAAGCTGGTATCGCCACCAACCTCCATTGCTAATCATTTTTGCAGTTACGACTAAAATGATTCACGGTCACGAATTCTCGAAACGACTGGATAAAACATAAAGAGACAATCGAGTGTACAGTAGCATGGGTTTGGGGATAATGTATATGTATCGGATACCATCAAAGATCAAAGGCGTCAGCGAGCTACAAGGAGCCTTCAAGTTGGAGGAGGGGGGCCGTGGGCTTCAATAGACGGAAAATTCCAATCTTGAATCCATTTCGCCCTTCAACCATTGTTTTGTCTGGAAACGTCTCTATGCGGTTTACGGTTTACAGAGGTGGATTGAACTCTCAGGTTAAGGCGCTCTCTTAGAGCCTCCAAAGAAAAGGCAGACAGTTGGAACAGAGAAAGTCAATTCTAAACAAAAAGGGCTTCAATTATTTTCAAATCAAACGACAAGAGCGCTTACGGTTACTTTTCCCTCTCGATTTGATGGTTATCGCCTCCAGATTCTCTTTAAACCGTATTACGTCAGCGGGGAACGACGTTTTCAATTGGTCAACCAACCATAACCTTCGACTGTCCACGCGAATCGCGACTCAGCCTCGTACAATTAATTCTGGAAAAGCATATTTCACGGCGGTGCATTGAAACCCCATCATTATCAATCGCAGCATTTTTGTCATTGGTATAGAATCATAATATTCATTTTTGTTTTGCATACAAAGCGATGGCGCCTGGAGTGAGTCGCGGTTTGCTTCCCTTGCGCATGCAACGGGTCAACTAACTTTAAATAGACGCGTCGCGCCCACAGAGCTGGCTACGCCGAGCATGACGATTTCGAAGGTACGATGATATTGAGGGTAGTGGGAAACGCGTATTAACGATTCAAAGGTCTACCCGTGCGACAATGGCGACAAGAGTGGATAAGCGTTGTGCCGCCGCAACAGCAAGAACAAAACCAACAAAACGATATCTGGTCGATCGATCTGCCTCATGGCATGCCCAAGGATTCCCATCTACTTCCCGCACACAGCCAGGAGCTACTCGCCGCCGCGCGATCCGGACGACTGTACAAGAGGCCTGCGCCAGACGAGGAACAGGAGGGCGACGCCGATGCAGCTCCCGAGAAGCCAGAGAAGAAAGAGGAGGACACAAGTGCGAGAGGCTTCAGTGTCAAGGTCTGGAAGCAGTTACCGCGAAACCTCGATAATTCCGGTGCATCTCACCTTGCGAAGCGACAAAAGAACACCGTTACGATTGCTAGCCGGACAGTCGAAGAGAAGGTCCAGGGACCAACAGTTACTAGGGCTACTGTGAGGAGGATCGACGCCGCTGGAAATCCATACACCGAAGAGGTCACACTGGGAGAAGGCCAGCAGGTCCAAGGAGAAATCGTCTCTACGAGAATCGAACCTGCACCCGCCGCTGGCGCAGAGTCTTTGGCCGGCACACCTGGTCCCAACCGACGAAGGCCACCACCTCCCAAGAGAAAGACCAAGGCTGGTCCTGGTCGCGGCAAAAAGAAGATCAAGAACCCTCTTCCTGAAGCTGGAGCTGCCCCCGTGGCCCCTGCTGGAACTGCAGATGGTGCCACACCTGCTGCTCCAGTCAAGCCTGAAAACCCCGCAGAAGCTGTACGTTATGATCTGCGGATCTGTTGTACCCTGGCACTGACTTTTTATAGGCTATCAAACAGGAGCGCGAAGATTCGGCCAACCAGGATAGCCCAATGGTCGATGCTGACGATGACGATGACGATGAAGATGGGGAAGATGACGAAGGTGAAGACGGTGAAGAAGGAGACGCTACACCAGCTCCGGATAGTCAAGCGCACGGTGAAAACAACAAGCAGCAAGATCACGAGATGACAGACGCCGCACCACCAACAACCGCCGAACCTGCTCCCGTTCCGCCTCCGGCTCCCGTACCAGCCCATGCTGAACCTCCAGCTGCTCTTCAAAACGACGAAACCGATGTTGTCATGCAGAACGACACACCAGAACCTGCGCAACAAAGTCCCACAAGTCTCGCACCACCACCTCTTACACCCGGAGAATCGCGACTTGAGGGAAGCCCTCTGAAGAATGTTGTCATGCCTTCACCCGCAAAGGAAATGAACGCAGAGGAGGCGATCAAGGCCGCGGTTGATGCCCCTTTCTCAGATATCGACGCGACCAAGGAACCGCAATTGACCGAGGAGAATCTCAAAGAGGCATCTTTGGACCCCCCTGTCAATGACACTCAACCCCATGCGACGGGAACTGTTGATGAGGAGCACATGCTCAAGCTGGCTGTAAATGCTCCATTCGGACTTGATCAACCTCCAGCAGTTGGCCCTGGTGCTGAGCCTGCTGAGTCAACCGTGGCCGAACCGCCATCGACAATTGTTGGAGAGGCTCCTGAGGCCGCAGCCGATCGTGATGTTCCCATGCTGGAGCCAACCGACAACGAAGCACTACTGCCTCCCCCACCTGAAGAAGTTGGCAACATTGCTACGACGCCTCCAGGAAGCTCTGGTGAGCGTGAGCAAGGACATTCTGCCCCTGGAAGTGAGGCCAAACTTCCCTTTGATGTCCTGCCTGGTGAAGTCCAACCTGGTGAAGAAGCTGTTCCAACAAGACCGCAATTGGAACAGAACGACACTGGTTTGACAGAAGATAGCATTAAGCCTGATGACTCGGCTTCGATCACTGCGCCCATCTCTGATACCACAGATGCCCCGGCTGCTGCTCCCTCAGTTGTTGATCCCCCAACAGAGCCACCCGCTGAAACTACCGTGCAAGAACCTGCTGCAGAGAAGGCCAAGTCACCAACACCGGTTCAGCCAGAGGTCAAGGAGGAGTCCATTCCTCCTGCGGTTGAAGAAGTCGCTAAAGGCGAGTCGCCTGATATGATTGCCAGCTTGATGGATAAGCTTGACGAGGAGCATAAAGATATTGAAGACATGAAGGAAGACCTACCAACTCCATCAGTGCCCGAGCTTGCAGCAGAGCCTGCACCTGAGGCTCCTGCAGAGGTTGCCAACGAACCTGCGGCTGAGCCTATTACTGAACCCGCTGCTGAGCCCGTCGCCGCGCCCGTCGAGGAGCCTGTCGCAGAGATTGGACCTGAACCTGTTGCCGAGACAGAGGTTCAGCCAACTGTCGAGGAACCTGTAGATGCACCCACAGAAACAAAATCCGAGGTCCTTCCCGAACCATCTTTAATACCTTCAGCGGCCCCAGAAGCACCAGTCGATGAGCCCATGGTTACGGAGGAAGAGAAGCCCAGTGATCCTACCCTCGAAGCTCCCGCCGTGGTGGCACCCACAGTGCCAGAGCCTGCGGTGACTGAAGGAGAACAAAAGGATCAAGAAATGAAGGATGATGCTGCCGCTTAGGAGGAATTGTGGGACTTGCTTCCTCCAATTGAGGGGAACAACTTACACCGATATATCTATACATAACATGGCTTGGCTCATTGGATTTTAGGCAAGTCCGATAAGAGAGGGGAGTTTGTATAATACGATTACTTTCAGAGCCCATTAGCTCTAATGATTTCATGGACAACAGGGAATACAAATTATGTCTATCCGATATAAGAGTCAAATTGCAGTGCTGTGTATGCTAAGTTATTCCGCTGCTAATTGCCTTATCATGACGCTACTCCTACCCGTAGAGAAAGACTCTTCTGCCATTTTGGCCTTCTTCCTCTCAGGCATCGCATAACGGCCATGCATACGAAAGCCTCGTGCATGTGCATTACTTAACCCTAATAACGCAGCACTCGCAAGCAACAAGCCCATGAGGATAATGGCACCTGCCTGCGACATGTTTCCTCCTATAGCAGCAGACATGTATACCATTAATTTAGCCACCGCTTCAATGTACCCTTCGAGAACTGACTGCGCACGCAACCAAGCATGCGTAACGATGGCTTGCAGGTCTGCATCCGGACCACGAAGACGCACGCTGTGTCCTCCGCCAAGATCGATGGTGTACTCTGTCATGTCGATGCTCTCAAGCGCAGATTCGGAATGAGTCATGCGTTGCTTTATGGCCCAGATGTTAAGGATGCGGGAGATGATCAGCATGAGCAGAATAGCGAGACCCCACCAGTCTTCGAGTATGACCATGAAGGATATAGATGTAAGTGTGATAACGGGTGTGCCGAGGTAGAGAAGATGACTGAACCAGTCAACATCCGAAAGTGAAGCCCAATCATCATGATCCGCATCATCATCTTCCTCATCCGAGATTCTTCTCTTCTTAATAAGTTTCCCAACAAACTTGACAACATCCCACGGCGTATCAATCCCAACAGTCAAAGTAATGCTATCCTCGTCATCTTTGAACAAACCCTTGAGATAGCTCGCCGTCATTGTATTCTTCACAGCATACTGCATCTCGCCGAGCGCTAAAGCTACCAAGCCAACGGGGGCTTCGCGTTCGAGGTCATCGCATGCTTGTTGGTAGTGTAAGCCGGGAGCGAGGACGAAGGCGTCGACCCAGGAGGCTCCGCCGGTGAGAGCTGTTCTGCGGGAGATTGTGCGGAGGTCGGCGAGGACGAGAAGACCGCTTGCGGAGAGGGTTAGATTTGGAATCGGGGTATCTGTCCAGGAGGGAATGAGAGATCGGGGCTGTTTGTGTAAGTGGGTTGCAGTTGGAGGAGAGTGTAGGACTAACCTCCATATCATATAGCAGCTTCTGAGTTTCGGTCATCTCAGAACGGAATCAGACACATTATTGGTATAAATTTCCATTTTACTAAAGAGGAAGTCATTTATATATGGACATACTGTGCCAAGTCGTGATTGCTTCGATGATGGCATTTCTTGAGTTTCTGGCCCCCATGACTACTACATGAGAACTCATCCCGAGACGTGTTTCTGATCTGAAACAAAGAGGTTTTCGATATAGCCTTGATTATTCCCATTTTCTTAACGGCAAAGGTGTGAGTGCAAGATTTTGTATAGCCTGAAGATTTGAGACATCGGGTTGTGTTGGTGGCACGGGATCTGTTGCTACTCGTGGGGCAGTCTCATGATGGTAACTCGCGTGCAAACTCACAAACGGCCTGCCTCTTGGCGAAGTGATTAAACTTCGAGCTCTTTGAGAAGTCTCAAGAAGTCTAAAGAAGTCTAAAGCCTTATTTTATTAAATAAAAATCGTGATAAATATATCTTCTACATGTCTGAGTTCGGAGCATTTTGGCCGGTGAGATGATTGCTGTGTATATTGCGCCTGCTTCTGAAGCGTTGCCACACACGCTCCCGCAACCAATAGATACAAGTTCAGTCATATAAAATAATCTTATTCGATATTGTTGAATAATAAAATATATCAATCATTTATTCTCATAGTGTTCGTCATCTTATCGTGCTAGGACAAGTTGAGCTGGAGCTTACTTATCCTAGCTATCGGATGACTAAGCATGCGCAACGAACAGATAGCCCGCCATGATGCAACAGCCAGCTCTGAAGCTCCCCAAGCGTGAAGCCGCACAACGCCGTCAACACAACCACAATGCGGCTCTCACTACAACCATTGCTCCTTCTGGCGCTATCGTCCCTCGGCGCTGCCGTCTTCCAGGATGAAGTCGGCCAAATCGATTTCCACCACGCGCTCGTAGGCGTCCCCCAGGTCGAAACCACCTTCTTCCATCGACCCCGAAAGCAAGATAAGGCGAGCCTCCTTTACACACTCAGCGACGTCGGCATTGTCGGTGCTGTCAACCCCAGCAATGGCGCTGTTGTTTGGCGTCAGCAGATTGCGGATGATATTACCAATGGCGGCGGTTTCTTGCGCGCTGCTGAGGGCGAACACTGGGTTGCTGCGGCGTATGGATCTCGAGTGCAGGCTTGGGATGCGCTGACTGGTCGTAACGTCTGGCACAATGAGTTTAAGGGCGAGGTTAAGGATCTGGAGATTCTGGAGATTACTGAGAGCTCTCGAAAGGATGTTTTGGTCCTGTACGATGAGGACGGCACTACGGTTCTACGACGTATACATGGTACTTTGGGACAGGTTGTTTGGGAGTTCCGTGAGGTCGCTCACAACATTCCTCTCCAGGTCTCGACCGATATCTCCAAGATTTACGTTGTCAGCCTTCATGGATCACCTGCTTCTTACAGCCTCAAGGTTACTGCGCTCGATACTCTTACTGGAGGACGATTGGACGACTTTGCCATTGGCACCAAGGGCGATGTCCACGGACCCAAGGATGTTATGTTTGTTGGCGGCAACTCAGCTGCTCCTATTCTTGCTTGGGCTGATAGCAGCCTTTCCAAGCTCAAGGTCAACGTTCTCGGCAGCAAGACTACTCAGGATCTTAAGTTGCCCAGCGACGCTGTCTCCGTTGTCATCCACGCCCCCCATCTCACTCAATCGCAGCCCCATTTTCTTGTCCACACTCGAACCAAGACTGGAAACAAGGCTGAGGTTTACCACACCGATCTGAAGACTAGCCAGGTCTCCAAGGCCTACGAGCTTCCCCACCTCTCCGGCCCAGGTGCCTTCTCCACCAGCTCCGATGGAGCTAACGTTTACTTTGCTCGCGTTACTGACGACGAGACTCTGGTTGTCTCTTCCGAGTCTCATGCTGTCCTTGCTCGCTGGGCTTTCAAGCCTGCTGGTGATATCGAGGCTGTCCATGCTGTTGCTGAGGTTATCAAGAAGCCTGGTACCGAGGGCTTCGCTATCCGAGCTGCTGCTGTTACCAAGTCTGACGACTGGGTTCTTGTCCGCAACGGCGAGGTTGACTGGAAGCGTCCCGAGGGCCTTTCTGCTGCCGTCGCTGCTGTCTGGGCGGATGTCCCCGGCACTGAGAACCTCGCCAAGGTTCTTGAGGAGGAGGCTCACACCAACCCTCTCAGCGCCTACATCCACCGTGTTACCCGCCACATTGACGACCTCCGGTACCTTCCTGATTACCTCTTTTCTCTTCCCGAGCGCTTCATCTCCAGCGTCTCTGGTGGCGAGACCGTCAGCAAGAAGGAGGGTCTGCACCGAGACACTTTCGGATTCAACAAGCTTATTGTTCTTGCAACTCGCCGCGGTCGCATGTACGGCTTGAGCACTGAGCACAAGGGCCAGGTTGTCTGGTCCAAGTCTGTCCTCCCCCAGTCTCCTGGTGAAACACTCGAGGTCAAGGGCATGTATGCCAAGGACGAGGGTGTTGTCACTCTGCGTGGCGCCAAGGGCGAGTACGTCGCTATCAAGAGTGACACTGGCGATGTTGTCGAAGTTATGCCCGCAGGATCTCTTCCTCGTGTCGCCAGTACCGTTGTTGTCGACAGCCCTGCAGGCAAGTGGCTGCTTCCTGTCGGCCACAACGGCGAAGTCGGACCCGTCCCCGCTGGTTTTACTCCTGCCGAGACTATTGTTGTCCGAGGCGAAGGCGAGACCCTCAAGGGTCTCAAGTTTGTTGAAGCTAACAACAAGGTTACCGAGGAGGAAGTTTGGCAGTTGCAGCTCTTCCGTGGTCAGAAGATCGTCGAGATTGCTAAACGTGATTCTCACGATCCCATCGCTTCTATTGGCCGCGTTCTGGCTGATCGTCGCGTCAGCTACAAGTACCTCAACCCCAACACTATTGTGGTCGCTGCGATGGATGAGGCTTCGTCTTCTCTGTCTGTTCAGCTGGTTGACACCATCTCGGGCCAAGTTCTGGCCGCCCAATCTTACGCTGGTGTCGACTCTACCAAGCCCATCTCATGCACCATGGCTGAGAACTGGTATGCATGCACTTTCTTTGGACGATACACCCTTGAGGATGGCTCCAAGCGATCTATCCAAGGCTACCAGATTGTCATCAACGACCTCTACGAGTCTTCCTCGCCCAACGACCGTGGCCCTCTGGGCGATGCCGAGACATTCTCTCCTCTCAAGCCTGTTGACTCCCCCGATGGACCTGGTCTGCCTTGGGTCGAGTCCCAAGCTTACGTCGTGTCTCAGCCACTCGACCATCTCTCAGTGACACAAACTCGACAAGGTATTGCCAACCGTTATGTTCTCGCCTACCTCCCTGAAGCCCACTCCATCGCCGGTCTGGGCCGCCAGATCCTCGACGCCCGACGACCCGTTGGTCGTGACTCTACCCCAGCTGAGAAGGAAGCCGAAGGCCTTGTCCAGTACTCCCCCAGTATTGAGATCGACCCTCGATCTGTCATTTCTCATCAGCGAAACGTCTTGGGTGTCAAGAACATTCTCGCCACACCTGTTATCGTCGAGAGCACAACTTGGATTGTTGCCTACGGCGTGGACGTCTTTGGAACAAGATTGGCTCCTAGCGGCATGTTCGATATTCTCGGAGATGGGTTTAACAAGCCTACTCTCATCCTGACTGTTGTGTCGCTGCTGGGCGGCGTGCTATTCCTGTCACCCATGGTAAGAACAACCCCTTCGCATTCGCATTCCAGACATTTTGCTAACACTGCTTTAGGTGAGGAGAAAACAAATCAACAGAGGCTGGGAGAGTTAGAGAAGGTGAAAGAGGGTATGTCATATTAGGAGCTAATTACTAGACCCGGCCAATGGGGATAGGTATGTATAGGATATAGCTGTAAATGGAACTCAAAGTACTGTATTTTCTGCCGTCCAATTGTATGTCAATTTGGTGATTATTTTCAGTGTTTCCGTTGACAGGTGGTGGTGTCAGCCTCGAAATGTAACGATCCAAACGCCTCGAAGTTCCTGAAGTGCAAAGCCACGTGCTCATAGTCCAGCCCGAGATCGGGGTCCCCGCGACTTCCGTTGGGCGGAGCAGTAACGGGCTTGGCGCCACGGATGTCGCGGGGCTGAACCGGAAGAAGAGAAGTCCATCCGGAGAATATCAAGTAATTCGTCTCAGCATTCGTGCAAGCCCAGAATGTAACCGTATGTATGCACAGTCAGCACATGGATTGTCCCTCGTATCACCACTCATCGGGGCCTGCATATGCGTCAAACTGCATGAGTTTGCATCGTATCGCATTGTAGGACTATTCAGCTTATGGTGGGGAGATGGAAGCTATACGGGTTGTACAGAAGGGTGTCAGCTGTTTGATGCCTTGACGATCAATATGCCTTGCTGGGTGCTGTCCGTATGTCTTGCTTTGCCTTCAGCTCGTGTAGTTGATATCTGAAGGTCTTAATGTGTAACCACCAAACAACAATTCTATTCTCGTGTTCCAATCAATGTCAGGGTTTATTGAAGGGTCTCTGCGTAAAACCTGTCAATCCTTCGGGAAACACGAAGAGGCTTTTGAGTTGACGAATAAGATGTGAGGAAGCCATGATGTGACGGGATTTGCTTTTGCGGGGTAGAATGGGCTGAATGAATGAGACTTGGGAATTTATTTTTAGGATGACTTGTTCAAGAGCGGATAGTATTTACTGTTTTGGTCGTTGAATGAGATACCCTTTCAAGTATCGTCGTGTAAGCTGGTTATGTCGATCATCTCACTCAACAGCATCATCAGACTGCTTACAGTGTAGATATACAGGACTTATTATACAGTATTAATGATGAGATGAGGTTTTACGAACATCTTCCAACAGTAGCACCACATCTGTAGGGCTGGCAGTTTCGATCGTGTGACTATCTAGCGTCTGTGGTGTAAGTGGCTTACAATATATCCCAATCCCGTCTAGCTTCTCCCCTCCACAAAGTTAACGTTGCGAATGCGAATAATGGAAAGTGCCATTACGGGGAGAGTCAGCCTCGTATAGGCAAAGTGATTCAGAGACTAACTACTTCTCCCCCTGGTCAACGGGAAGAGGCAGAACTAAAATAGTATCGTGGCTGTATCATAGGACTATGGCCGAGTTCCGAAGTACGGAACTTGACGCCTCTGGTGTAAGTGAGACCATACTCACAAGAATAGAAACAGATACTGAAAAGGCAGACTCTGTATGTACGAAATCAAGTATATAAACCCTTCGATATCACCTCCAAATCGAATATTCTCATCATCCTCATCAACAATCATCTTCTACTACAACTACTTTCGCTACAACAAGCAACACTCGCTCAACACCACTACCAAAAACCACCAACCGCAAACATGAAGTTCACCGCCATTGCCATCGCCACCATCGCCTCCATGGCCGCTGCTACTCCCATGGACACTACTACCAGCGGCTGCAAGCCCGGTACCTACTCTTGCACTCCCGACAAGACTGGCTGGCAGATCTGCGATGTCTCCGGCAAGTACGTGGTAAGTAACAACATCACCCTTCCAACCAATGTGACAATTGACTAACATGTCCAAGGCTGCTGGAGCTTGCCCTCCCAAGACTAGCTGCGTCTTCTACAAGAAGAGCGCCAGCCCCTACTGTGTCCCTCCCGGCTTCAAGTTCCCCCAGAACTAAGCAGTCCCTTGTGGACTAGGACACGAGATGGCCACGAGAGCTTGCCTAGTCTTATAGACTCGAGCTTTTGATAACAACTTCTATCTCTGTCTGATACTGAGCTGGATTCAACTTGTGCATTTGGTCTTTTCATGTTTTCATGCCTTGCATGAGGTCCTTTCCTTAGAATTGTTAATAGAGATATGGCACATATACAGCAAAGCAACAACGGGTTGGGGTTCAAGATATATATCGTTACTAGCATAGCATCTTCAATCTACTGCATTGCCTTTTACTCGAACATTGAGCCTTTCTAGTGACTTCCATAACACTGATAGCTATTCATGTACCTTTCAAGAGAAAGAGCATCACCAAAATGTTTGGATAAGTATGTTCAATATTCATGCTACCAATATGCTGTACCTGGGCCATTCTAGATACCTATAACGCCGCGGAATTGCGTCCAAATTCATCTAGTCACACATAGCTTAACAGTCACCCTGCCAATTCTTGCTGATCCAATCAGCCATAAGGTACGTAAATGTACCTTCGATGTATCGCTCAACATGGCCATCACTAAAATCACCAGCTCCCGCAAGCTTCAGGGCAGGGATGATCCAAGGCTGGAGAAAGTCAAGGAACACAAAGTCAACCGTCTCAGGTTCACCATCCTTGGGCATGGCAATCTCAGCCTGGATACAGTTGGGTTGTTGATACGTCTTGACGGGCTCATGAATAGTATCATCGCCATCAGTGCCGATATCGTCGACGGTAGTGTAGCCGGATGTCAGATCAGGCTTATCGAAGAAACTTCGGAGTTCAAGACGCGAATCTTCTTCATCATTCTTGTTCGCCTCGAATTGGGCCTTGAGAGCGGGAGCAGGGAAAGCTTGCTCGGGCATGGCCATGTACTTGGCGTCAAGACCGTTCTCAGTAAGGATTCTTCCAGCACTGTTGAGAAGAGAGATAACCTTGGAAGCGGCTTTGTATGGAACATCGGGAATGTAACTAAAACCACTGGTGAATGGGCTGATGGCATAAGTGGAGTCTCGTGTGAAGCCTCCCTTGAAAATGTCGAATCGAATACCGCCGGTGTTGAAGAGAGCCAATCTCGGCTTATCCTTGCGATCCTTTCGGGTGACAATATCGGGAAGAAGCTGGCTTGAGATCCAGTGGTAAATGCTGTTCTTGTCAGTGTGCTTGGCTCGGGTCATCCAGAGTGTCTTAGGTGCGCAGCCAAACTTGTAGTCGAGTTGAAGTGCACTGCGGGCACGAGTGATCGACTTGCTGACTCTCCTTCCGTGCTCGGTAGGGAAAGTAGTCTCATTGAGACCAGTGTGATAATGCAGGCCGTAAAGATTGTTGTCGATGTACCGACGGGTGAAGGTAGGAGAAGCAGCTGCCTTGACCTCCTTGCTACCCTCGACACCCTTCTTGATACCATCGATCGACATCCATCCGATCGTCTCAAAGTAACGACCACTGGCCATAGCAAAAGCGCCGGAATCGTACTGAACAGCATCGCGAACGTGTGCATGACCGCCGAAAATGGCGATGGGGATATGCCAGTTCTGTTTACGAATGGCAGTAAAGATAACCTTGAACTCCTCCATGCGAAGGCCGACATGACCAATCACAACAAAGAGATCAGGCTTCTCCCGAATGGCCTCCTGGAACCAATCCTCCTTAACGGTCTGCTCAACGGGCTGGACAACGGTGTTGTTGGCATTTCCGGTAAAGTCAAAGAGGAAGCCCATGGCCACGATGTTGAGGCCCTGGTTCTTTGTCTTGAGCTTCTTGTAGCGCGGAGCCTGAGGAACACGATTGCCGGTCTTGAAGTCGATATAATCGAGATTCGAAGCTAGGTAGCTGTTCTTGTAGTTGGGAACAGTGGTATTGTGTTCCATATCAGCCGAGTAAGCTTTGTAAAGCTCATGGTTGCCGGTACACATGATATCGACATCGGCTTCGGCGTAAATATCATATTGGAAGAGGCCTTTGGGAGTTGATGCATCGTATAACCCATTTCCTTCGACGCGATCGCCTGTATCGACGACTAGTAGATCGGCGCCCTGCTTATCGGCTTCGTCGCGCATATGCTTGGTGAAGGAGATGTAGTCACCCCAATCGGCAGAGTATTGAGGCCTAAGACATCAGCCACAGCTTGTGATAGGGTGAATGGAGAACATACTCTTGAAAATGACCGCCAATCCAGCCATGTGTATCAGTTGTGTGGATAAAGTTAATCTGACCCCAAGTGAGGTCTCTCATGGGACCTGGGACAGGCGCGGCAGCTCCAGGTTGCGAAGCGCGAACTACAGCGACCAGCGCTGAGCCAGCAGCGAGTGTTTTGGACCTGAGAATCATCGTGACCAGTACAGAAAGTGATGAATGTTGATGGAGATGTAGAAGGAAGAATGAATGACTGCCGAGTTCGGCATGGGAAGTATGATAAGGTAGCTGGACGCTAGCATGACGTGGGAGGGGACCCTGAGGGACAACAGGGCTGCGCAGTCGATGATTGGATGATTTGGGCACGTTGATGCTTAGCAAAGCAGATCTGGCGAATAGGAAATGGGGAAAGTCTCCCCGCAAGGGGTCATGCACCAACGATAGCGCACACCAGCGGGCCCTCTGCCTGAACCACGAGGACGCGCCATCATGAAGCATGACCCGTGACAGGACATGACACAGATGTTATGAGGCTGACAATACTGAAAGATAAGATTATAATGTGCTTATGTCTTGGATTGGGCGTCAATGGGGTGTTTAGAGGGGAGTATAAAGAGCAGGTTACCCGAGGAATGAAAGCTATAGAGTCGACTGTCCTACTCATCATGACTCTTCAATACATGGATCAGATAGACGAGACCAACCAAGTCATTCATTCTCAGCTCGCTACCCCGACCTCACCGCCAATAGTTCCATGGCTGAGCAAACCCCTAGCAACAGCCGGAAAGTTCAGACCAGCCTCTTCTAATACTTTGCAACTTCCTTAGCCTAGGCCTCTTACAAATAACATCGACCCGTATCTCGCGAAACAAACAAACTGCGGCTCAAAACTATTGCCAATCTGGGATGATACTGCGAGGCCAAGCGGTCGTCTTGCTGACCACAACACTTGATAGGCTGAAGCTCTGTTATAGTGGATCCTTGTTCGCCGGTACGAGATACGAGATGCATCCGGATGCCCCACTTACGGCCGCTGTGCCTCCCGTGTCCCGGTATATGAACGGGCTCAAGCCGGATGTTCAAGGTGAGCTTGGATAGTTTATATAGAGTCTCACTGCAATAGTAGTCTCCCGATCGATTTATCTTTTGGAAAACAATATCCCGAATCTTTGATATAGTACTTTGACCCGTCGGAGGCCTTTGTGTCAGCATATCGGACACCGGAGCATTCTCTACGCCGCCCTAATATATCTCCATCATCAAGCCACGTTGAAGCAGTTCTCCTTTTCTATAGTAACCCAGCGTCGCTGAGACTGATGACCTCTTATATCAAAATGTCAAATACTTCGAGATCTCCATCAGCGACAGATTACGGTAGGCTCTCCCAATCGAATCACAGCGAGAATAAGGCACACTCTCAGCTGGTAACAAGGTGGATGCTGATAATGCCTAACAGATACTTCGAACATCGAAATCGTTTCAAAGGAGCTCAACCTAAGTTCTGAGATGGACTGTCGGAATCTCTTGCTTCGAGATTTCACAGCCCTACCAGTACGCGAGCCACTAGCGCCCAGCTCAATAGCTTCCCCGAGACAACCACCACTCATGTCTTGTATGTGGTATTCTACCCCGAGAAATGAGAAGTGACTAATTCGAGCTCAGGTAGAGACTCGGGTTCAGACAGTACCACGAGAAATAACGTCTGGATTGCAAGGACAGTACGAACAGCCATGTCTAGTATTTTGTCTAAGCCATGAACAAGAGAGCATGTCAATAGCAGACTGAATCGGGGCTAAAGAAAACGTTAATATTATGCGCAGACTTCTGCACGGACTTGCAACAACATTGCACAATTGTGAAAAGTGTGACAAAGTGAAAAAAGCAGTGATCAAGATCCCATGTGATGGTTTTTCGGCGAATTTGTCTTGGTCACCCCCACGTGGTAATCCACTAAACCGCCATCCCTCAGCTCATACAAGGGCGAGCCCAGACTTTTGGTGACCCTCCTTGAGGTGAGATATTGAACGCCACAATAGCTATGATTTTCAGCTCAGATCGACAGTATATCGTCTCTGTTTCCCATCTTTTCCTCTATCTATTTTTTGTTTTGCTGTGAGTATTTCTTACCTGGAGTACCTCCGTAGAACTGCCGGACAAAGCACCTCATCTCCGTTTGACGTGACACCCTTTCGCCTGTAAGCACTGTAAGATCCCCTGTTCCTTCCACTGAAGCTTTGACCCTCCCGGCCGGCAGCCGCCGCGAACTTGTTCCCCGACCCGCCCGCCACCCAGGATTAAAGAACCACCATCTCGAGGAGGTTTGACCAGTCCTGGTAAAGCACCACTTCTTGGCTCCCGATAACTTCTGGGACTAGAACCAATTGAATGCTTGAAACATGTATAGCTTGTCGAGCTTGTCTTAATCTGGCCTGGGTGCAACCAACAGAAGGAAGAAAAAAATTCAGATGATTTGACCCGATGGGCTGGGACTGGGTTTGGCGCAAAAGTACAAGATGCCGCCATCTGCGTTCTAGTTCTTTTGCTTTGCCTTTCTTTTTCACTGATCGTCGCTGCTTTAAACGGTGTCTCCGTTGTCGATCACTCAACTTAATCGCCTCAGGGCCGACTTGAAATACCTACCCCTCCTCCTCCCTCAGCTCATGTTGACCTCTCGCACATCTACTTCCTACCATCTATACTTCTCGGCGCATTGTTACATGTGCCGTGTCAGTTCATAAGAACTCAGCGAGCGACTTTGAGTCTTTGCGCTTGCTGCATTGGAGACGATAGAAAGACTTCACTACGAAGATACCATTACTGCTTTGCGATAGGTTTACGAGGTATGTTGCGACAACAGCGCGAGCGCAATTGAATGCGATAACTAACAACATGATCAGCATATTCTACGATACCCTCGAATAAACCTTCGACATGTCGGCGCAACAACCCATTACCGTCGGCGACTCCAAGGGCCCAACCGCCTACGAAGCCACAGCTACCGCCAACGCCCCTTCTACAACCACCAACGAAGATGCTGCCGTCAGCCAGGGCATTCACACCCTTGAGGTCAAATCTGTCCACTGGTACAGCTACCTGACCACCGTCGACTTCTGGATCGTCCTCGCTCTTGGTCAGGTTCTTGCCCTGTGCATCACCGCGACCAACACTTTCACCAGCTTCCTCGCCGAGGCGGGCACCAACATCCCTGCCTTCCAGACCGTCTTCAACTACATCCTCATGTTCCTCATCTACACACCTGTGTTCCTCTACAAGGACGGTTTCCGAGGCTGGTGGCAGATCGCTGTCAAGGATGGCTGGAAGTACCTTATCATGGCCTTCCTGGATGTTGAGGGCAACTACTTTACTGTTTTGGCATACCGATACACCAACGTTTTGTCTGCGCAGTTGATCAACTTCTGGGCTATTGTCTGCGTTGTTGTCATCTCGTTCTTCCTTCTCAAGGTCCGCTACAGAGTCTTTCAGATCATTGGTATCTTGGTCTGCTGTGGTGGTATGGGTATTCTGATTGGCAGCGATCACATCAGCGGTACCAACGGCGGTACGGGTCTCGACATGGTCAAGGGTGACTTGTTCGCCCTTCTCGGTGCTACTCTCTACGGTACCACCAACGTTTTCGAGGAGTGGCTCGTCTCCCGAGCTCACTTGTACCACGTCCTGTCTTTCCTTGGTCTCTTCGGAATGTGCATCAACGGTGTCCAAGCTGCCATCTTCGACCGCGAGTCCTTCGATAACGCTACCTGGAACGGTAAGGTTATCGGCTGGATCATCGGTTACACCCTGTGCCTGAACCTCTTCTACATCCTCGTCCCCATCATGCTGCGCATGGGAAGTGCTGCATTCCTCAACATTTCTCTGTTGACTGCCAACTTCTGGGGTGTCATCATCGGTATCCGAGTCTTTGGCTACACCATCCACTTCCTTTACCCCATTGCCTTCGTTCTCATTATCGTTGGACAGCTTACCTACTTTGTCACTGGTAGCATGCTCAGTGATTCCAAGAAGCCCTGGCTGGGTGATAATCAGGAGGATGGTGTTCTGGGTTTCGGCACTGCTAAGCTCAAGGCTCTCAACGCTGCGCGTAAGGCGCAGATGGAAGCTGAGGCTGGCAATAGCGATTCCTAAATGCTGGAAAGATAATGAAACTGAATATGGTGAGAGGCTGGAGTTGGATTGTTGGTCATCCAGTTCTGGATTTCTTTTGGTTAGATACCCTGGATGATTAATAGGTTTTACATGCTGTTGGGCAATGATGAAAAGATAGTTATTATAATTAATAAAACGAATGATTAGGATATTTCACATCTTATTGGGGTTTCCTTGGTTGTCAATGGTCTCAGCAGTGATGCTAATCTCCAGGTAGACAGGTCAAATTCCATTAGTCTCATCGTAAGAAGTCGCCCGCAGCAACTCAACTCGAACTCCCGCCAACACACAGAAAAGTTCCCTTCCTTCCTACATACATACACATCAACCCATCCAGGTACAGTGAGCAAGTCCAACCCCTGGTCCCCTTGGGCACAATAACCTTCATCCATCGACTGTTCGCTCGTAGGCTCTTGGATGGTAGGCTCTACTGCAGAGGTGGATTGGCCCAGTAACAGGTTTGGCATGTTGCTCTGGCTGTGGACTCACTCGTAAGGAGGATTAGTCGTCCCTTTTTCATCCCGTATTCGTTCCTTATTCGTCTCTTACGATACCTGTTAAGTTTTCGGCTATCGTTACTCTTTGAGGGTAAAGTCCACAACGTGTGTCGTGACATTTTGAACCACTGCACTCATTCTTGCAACGATAGTACACTCTGACTTGGTTTTCGCCTTATTGTCCTCGGTCGATTCAATCATCTCCAGGACGGCGTCGATGCTGTATCCTTCGTAGGGGTATCGAACGTGGGGATATAGATCAGGGTTCTTGCTGCGGACCAGTTCGTGTTTTGCACGCATCAGCACTCCCAACGTGCGACAGACACAATCTACATTGTGCCATGCGGGGCAATGTATTTCCCTGAGTAATGGCATTTGCACATCGTCAAGTTTTTCGAAGAGTTGGTGGAGACAATCTTGTCTTTGTTTGTTGATTCGCTCTATAGGCTGTCAGTGATTTCCTTGTAGGCAACATGGTATCTTACCTAGAACACCTCCCAGGGGAATGTCGGACGTGTCGATTTGTGACAGGCCTTCGCTTTGTCGAAAAACGAGATTTGCCATTCTTTCGAGCATCAACTCGTCTGAGAAGACCCAAGCAACATACACACATAATAGAGTCTCCTTGTACAGTGCCCAAAGCGAGACGGCCGATATATCGTTCTGCTCCATCCACGGCTCAAAATAAACATAGAGAGCGTCGTGGCATTCGTAGTAGTCGATGACAGTAGCGATCCGGGTCACAAGACCGATACTCAGCTCATCCGGTATCCCTCGATGACGTCCATGGATGGCATCCAATACAATGGCAAACGCTAACGCATCCCATCCAGTTGCGTGTATCTGTCGAAGTGGCTCAGAAGATGAGGTTCCTTCCTTCCAAGGTCCTTCAAGCATCACTCGAAAAACGCGAGAGGCAAATTTGAAATGGCAGGAAGAGACTCGAATGTGGATCCTACAGGCTCCAGCTGCAGGTTTCTCTTTGTCGTAAAGCTTGTTGAATATGGCGTACCTTCCATGGCAGGGCGGGTTCTCGAGTCTGAGGTCTTCGTAGGCGTCATCACCAATGTGGGTGCTTAATCGAAGACGCGGGACGATGTTTTGCTCGTTCGGCTTGTTCAAGACCAGCTCGATGTCACCATCAGGGTCGATGTCGTACGTGATAGAGTCCATTTGTGAACCTGACCCGTTTCTTCAAAAGACGCAGGCCTGTTGTGGGTTGAAGAAGCAAACTGAAGGGGCAGAAAAGATCTCAGTGCGTGGAAATCATGTGCGGTGACTGTGGACGGCTGCATATTATCGCGGGAGGGGGCAGTGTTTGCATGACCACAAACATCTCGCACCGTCAGTTGCCTAGGTAGCCTAAGCAGAAGCCTAATAGACGAAAGAGAAGCCTAATAGACGAAAGAGATCCATAGATTCTATCCTAAGATTCTACTAATAAATCTCTCAACGCAACTGCCTGTCACTGTCAAGCCCAAGGGCTAAAGTACAGCTATAGCTCACTGCCTTGGATCTTGTTCTGTAGTCACCTCGAAACTCGCAAGATCGTTCTCAATTGCCCTAAGCAAGAATTGCAATCTAGTTGAAACGTTGCAGTTGCAGGGCTTTTCCTCGTCTGGCTTTGCAGTAGAGACCGCTTTGGGGGGCGAGTTATAGCCGTAGTAAGGACTGGGTCTTGTCTCTGTTGGTTCGGGCGATTTGGCAATGCTTTTTTGTTCTGGTCTTGAACTGGGAAAGGCATCTATTCGAATCTTCAGGTACTTAATGCTATGGCCATTGTATGGAGCAGCAAGATGCGGGTCAAGAAGTCCGAGCTTGTGCTGCTCTCGTACCAAGATACCAAGCATAATGGCAGAACAGTTTGGGTCATTAGATCCAAGGCAACCGTCCTCTTCTGACAGTATTTTGCGAAGATCATTCAAGCCGCTTATGATCCTGCCAATGAGTTGTTGCCTTTTAGTCTCAATGATATCTGTCGTGGGTTAGTCGTGTAGCGGCAAACTGTTGTTCATTCAACTGACCAAGAACACCCGCCAAGGGGAGATCGAACAACTCGATATCTGAAAGACCGAAGGAATATTCCAGAAGCATCTTGGTTACTTTAGCGGCGATATGCGGCTTGGAGAAAACCCAAGAGATATACAGCCATAGGAGACTGGTCTTGCAGATAGACTTAGGCATTCTGAATTTATTGCACAGACTAGTTACCCAGATCTGGGCGATGAGCTCTAAGCTCTCATGGCATTGATAGTAGTCAATTATAGTAGCGATTCGGGTCAAAAGCCCAAGGTTAGTATACTTCGGGATATCGCGATGGCGGCCATGGATGGTATCGAGCACGATTGCAAGCGCTGCGGCGTTCCAACCACTTGTCTCAATCTGCCGACGGCCAGACTGCAGAGCCTCAGTTGAGCTTTCGCTCCAACCTCCCTCGAGCATCTTGCGGAACGTGCGGGAAGCGAGAATCAGATGCCGGGAAGAAACACGCATACGAACTTCGGCCCCATCACCACCGGCTTCATCAACACCGGTTTTGTCGTCAACGGCTTTGTTCTCGCCTGCTTCATCATCGCATGCTTTGTTGACGATATTGAAGATCTCGTATCTCCCAACTAGAGGTGGGTTCTCAAATGTGTCATTGCGATCACGAGTAGACGCCGGCTCCTTGATGAATGGCACGATATTTTGTGTGTTGGGGTCCTTCAATACCAAATCAATGTCGCCGTCGGGGTCGATTTCGTACGTGATAGAAGACATGGTTCTTTTCGTTGTCTGTTCAAATGTTGATGCTGAGGGTGATGTAGAAACAAAGATTATTTGACCGTGTTTGCCATGTTAATGTTAGCTAACCTGTACCTATCTGCCACTTACCCAAACACGATGCGACGCAACCGCGGAAAGACCTACTTTCTGCTTGATACTCTAGCAGCGGCGATCTACATGAACCCGTTGATGGGGGAAATGCCTAGATGAATAGAAAACGACTTTTTGGCGATGATTTGCTAGATAGCTAGGGAGAAATGATGAAGAAGGGCGCGTGGAGGTCGCACTATGAGGATGCCATTATGTGAACCTCGGTCGGCGTCAAGTCGTAACTGACATCCAAAAGCAGATTGGCCAATGACCTGAAATGATCACACCAGGAGAGTTCCGGCATGTTGTAGAGCTACAATATAGACGTCTCCCCATGTAAATAAGGGGGCGCCGTTCAACTGATCTATCGAGTAGAAGGAGCATAAAGTATTAATCTTCTAAGTTAGGCTACAGAAATAAAGTAGCCCAATTGCTAGCCTAAGCTTGCATAAGATGATCAAATCATCTCATCTCTTATGCTCTCAGCAGCTATTTCTTGTGGCAACCTGATGCTGGTTTCCGTGGATCTTTGGACACCCAGTTGTTCCAGAAAGAAGCTCTGTAGGTAATAGGTTATGTTTGGCTGAGCAGAGGAACGAGTTTTCTTCTTACGTAGTGGAAAGAGATCGTCGGCGAAAGAAGAGAAAAGGTTGCTTGAGTCTGTTTGCTTTGTGTGCACTGATTCACTGCTGTTGAATATCTGTTTTTACAGTGACAGCAGCTGCCAAACATTCCGAGCAGGCAACAGCTCCAACCAAGGCTTAAAACAACTTTCCTCTCCTCTCTTTTTTCTCTTCTTCTTTTCTTCTTTTCACACCTTTCTTTCCCCTCTCGCCTGTGTGCGAAAGTCTACAATCTTTATAACATACTATATACAGACTCAACTTCATCTCGCGGCATCGACAGATATCATGCCATCGGTTCTCCACGAAGTCGACCCCGATGGCGGTCTCATCGCCGTCCTGAAGGAACCCAATACACAGAGAGTCATTCCCGATATCTATCTTCCCCCACCCAAGGGATCTGAGAATCCCGACTTTGTTCTCGACTCCACCGAAGTGTTAACAAACTTCGATTGTTCTGGGTATCCTTCAAAGGAGGATCAGGGTAAGACCACTCCCCGAGGACTGCAAGGGATATATATATAACTAACGGGCTATCTCTACAGATGATGGAAGCCCACTCGAAATTCGATATCGAGTGTCGTCTCGTCATTTGATGTTGGCCTCAGTGACTTTCAAGAAGATGCTCAGTGGCCCATGGAAAGAAGCTTCCCCTGGCGATCAAGAACCATCGAGCTCGGAGGTTTCTCACAGTCCCTGCATCCACATCCGCGAAGTCTCAGCAATCGGATGGCATGCCGATGCTTTGTTGACAGTCTTCAAAATCATTCACAGCCAATGCTCCGAAGTTCCTTGTGCTGTTTCCCTCAAGTATCTCACCAATGTGGCTCTTATTGCCAACTACTACCAATGCGCTGGGGCGTTGTCCCTTGCGGTACAGTTGTGGATCAAGCAGGGCTACGGGTTCAAGTGGTTCAAGGAGTCCGGCCTCCCATATGGAACGAAGCTCATCATGTGGCTTTTCATTGCCTGGGTATTCTCCCAAAGCCCTTTGCCTGGTAATGCGGCGCATCAGGGCTTGCTTTTTGAGGCGTCCCGTAGTGTGACGCACGAAAGCTACGGACTGTCGTATATCGAGACTTACGATCTTCCGATCAGTGAAATCCTCGGTCAGTATCTTCAGCGACTGCTATTGAGAACTAGTTCTAACTAACTATTATCATAGCTCCTCTGGAGAAAAAGAGATTGAATGGCCTCCGAAGCCTTACTTCTGCACTGAGCAACATGAACGGGAAGGTGAAGCGCAACGAACTAGGTTGTGATAATCACCGATGCACAGCGATGGTTATTGGTTCACTGGAACTGAATCTCGAAGAGCATCCCGAGTTGACAGTCGAAGATGGAAACTACGATGGACTGTCTATAAAGGATGTCATCAACGCGGTACAAGACGAATTTGGACCGAGCGAAGACGAAATGCAAGATGGCATGCATCTATGCACACCCAAGTCACTCATGAAACACATCATCAAAGACGTCCAACGTGAGATCAGGTTTAGCCCTGACTGGCCGGTGCGCAAAGGGATCATGCTCTAAGGTTTAGAGGAGCAGAATAAAGTAGTCTAAATAATGATCTAAGCTAGGAAAAAAAGTCTAAACTCCTTTACCTACTGCGGCTCTTCAGTCTTGTTTCAATCATCCTACGACTCGTGAGATATTTCCTGATTTGCCCATTGTTGTCAGCAGTAAGCTTGCCAGTGTTATATCACATATACTTTAGACCAACAATCGGTGCAAGGCAATCGACAAAACAAATGTGAAATCATGACGTTATTATTCTCGACATACCGAAATCTAGAACGCTTGCTACAAACCCAATAATCAACCCGTCACCTTGACTGTCGAAGCAATACTTGGTACACCATTCTTATCCATGACAAACAACATCCAGTACCCGGGCAGCGCAACGCCCGGATCAGACGGCACTTGGAATGAGTAAGTATTCTTCCCAGCATTTGCCAACGTCAAAGGAACACGACGCTGATCGCTGTTGACAGTATGCGTCGCCGTTCCGTATCGGACGAGAGAAGCTTGTGCAATAGCGCCGTTTGTCTGGACAGTAATTGTTCCACCGACCTTTACTGTCGAGGCAGACACCGAGATGATCTTTGCCCTTGTGGCTAGCTTGCCCTTAGAGTCGTACAAATATGGAGGACTGTATAGTTGTGCGTCGAAGTGGTTCGTGTCGCAACCACCGCAGAGACCTCCGCCGCCGTTGAAGACTCGTCCATCGGGAAGGAGAAGAGCAATGCTATGATATGTCCTCACGATGTTGTTCGGCTTCATAAGAACGAAGCGATCTTCATCGGGGAGGTACATCTCCGGTTCCAGCACGGGCGTCGTATCAGCAAAGGGGATGGCATACTGCTGACCCCCTGTGATGAAGACGTTTCCGTTGGGAAGAACGACTGAGCTGTGGAATACGCGGGCGTGGAAGAGACCTTCACTGGCGTATGAGACGGTGGACTTGGTACCTGGACTTCCAATGGTGATGATGTGCGAATCAGTCGTGGCATCTGAGTCTTGATAATCGGGAGTTCCACCATTGGTAAGAATCTTCCCCCTGACGGCATCGAACATGACAGCATTACCACACATCGCATCAGGAGCCACGCCACGATCCGACCCTCGCTGTCCAGCACTTTTGACATTTCCTTCTTTCCCATCGGTATAGTACCAGTTCATCGCAGTACTAGGCCCGGCCTGGAATACTGTCCCCTTCTTCCAACCGAACAACCAAGCGTGGTTATCGGATCGGAACAAGCCCTGGACATCATCAGTGAGCATCTTTTGCACGTCGGCTTTGTTGAGCAGGGTCCAAGTCTTCTTCTTGGGATCATATACTTCGCCATTCTTGAAAGACTGGCCGCCACTCCAAGATCCGCCGATGGTGAAAACTTTGCCGGTGGAGGTTGTCGCGGAAGACTGGTATCCCCTAGCGACTTGCATATCCGGACCAGAGATCCAAGCTTGTTTGACAGGATCAAAAACGCTTGTGCGTTCAGCGTTGTTGCCGCCTGTCACTAAAAGTTGGCCGTTGCCATCGAGTGAAATGCCAGGGCAGAACATGTCGTGATTTGTCTCAGTGACCTCCCTCTCAGACACCAGATCAGTAGCTGGATCCCACGTTGAGGTCAGAGTCAGACCTCCTGGACCTCCATCCATGGTATCACGAGCCCATGATGACCAGATCAGAACTTGACTAGTGCTAGGATCGACAGTGCCGGCTACTGGGATGACTGGAAAGTTGATGGTCGGTCCCCAAGCCCCCAAAGTAGACGGCTGAGGGGGCACATAGTCATTCGCTTGGAAGACATTGAGCTCAGCAATACTCGTCCACGGGTTCCCGTTGGCTTCAGTGATAGCAACAAGCCTGACATACCGAGCAGGCTGGGTATCAAAGTTGGCATACTTGGTCGTCCAATCCGCATACCACGTTCCATAAGCAACAGGCGAGCCCCAATTCTTCTTATCCTTGCTCAAGAACACCTGATGTTGGGCAATATATCCATTCTGCGAACTGTCTTGTCTCGGAAGCATAGAAATTCCATTCACATTATAAATCTTTTTCATATCCAAGGTGATCATATGAGGCGGCGCAGGCTCACTCCCCTCCCACTGCGTATGCCACATAGTATCCGCCTTCCCATCAATCGCATTCTTGCACCCATCCCCCTCGTGCACGCTATCGCACTTCACACTCCATTTGGCACGGTCTATTGCCACGCTTGCGAACGGCGCAGCTGCTCTCAGACTCAGTAACTGTTCTCTTTTGTGGAGGGGGGAGAAGGGGGTGAAGAGGGAATCACCGACCTTGGTTCTCAAATGGGGCTTGGGCTTAACTTTGGAGCTGGATTTGTTGCTTCGCTCGTTAGCCTTGGGTGGAACGGCTTGGATGTAGCCTTTGTTTAGCTTGGGGGGTTCGAAGGGCTTGTAGTAGCCGGGACCGGTCTTGCCGCCGCCCTTGGCGCTGTTTGGGTCGAAGGGTGAGCCGGACTGGTGGGTTGTGACGGCTCGTGGGTGACGGGGTGCGCTGCTCGACTTCTTGGAGGCAGTGTTTGAGGACTTGGACTTTGAGTCATCGGCTTTGACAGTGTCGTCCTTTGAGCCCTTCTTGGAGGTGGACTTGGTGGAATCGTCATCGCCAGTGTGCTTGCCTTTGCCTTTACCTTTGCCCTTGAATGAATCATCGGGTGCTTTGGGCTTAGGGCTTGAAGTGGAAGAAGAGTCCTCAGGCTTGGTTCGCGACTTGACCCCATCATCGTCACCAGAGTGTCGGCCAGAGGTTGGCTTTGCAGAAACACTCGTGGAGGTGGTGCTAGCAGAAGTACTGGAAGAACTGGTACTCTTGTCCTTGGTTTTTCCCTTCTGCTTCTTCTTTCCACTTGAGCCAGAGCTTGACTCAGAGTCGTCATCACTGCCATGCTTGGCTGTCTTGACGGTGTCATCCTTTGGCTTTGATCCTGACTTGGACTTGCTTGATTTTGTGTTGGTGGCCACTTTCTTGGATGATTTGGTCTTCGGGGCGGATTCTGGCATGTCGATAGGGAGAGGGCCAGTTCGGACGTATGTGGGAGCCATCATCGGCTCCATATATGCCACTTCAGTACCATCGAAGTCTGGGGAATCAGTATCCTCAGGAGCATCAGATTCCTCGGGCTCATCGTCAGACTCCTCCTCGACATCGTCGTCGTCAACATCATCAGAACCATACGTCTCTCCAGTCTTAACACTCCTGCGAACAGAAGGTAAATTCGTTAGTCCGACCTTGGGCGTCCAAGCTCCAAAAGGCATTGAATTCTTGGGTCCTGAGTTGGCGGCCGGGGCTGCATCGGCCTTTGGCTCATCTTGGGTAACTTGCGTAGAATAACCAATTTTTGGAGAGACAAAGCCAGGAAGGGCGATAGCGTCAGTGCCTTCGAAAAGGCCCAGACATAGTGTCAAGGCATACACGGGCTTCATTTTGACAAGGAGCGACAAAAGATTGGTGGTCAAAAGAGATGGGGTATAATGCTTTGTCGAACCGAAGAGAGTCGGGGCACGTCTTGTGAAATCATTTTATAAAAACAAACGTCAAAGATATTGGCTGATAAAGCTATTCTCAATGCAGGTACCAGGACCTTGCATAGGTTTAAACTTTAGCCTTGTAGATCAAGCGAGGCGCTGGTGAGGAATGTAGATGGACCCTCGATTCCCGGCCTGGACCGTCTATGTCATTCCTTGATAGGCATGTCTTAGCTATTCCCGGTCAAAAAGTAAAGCTTAATAGTATGTGTTTCTTGATTTTATACTTTATTTCAAACAACGCAATGGGTTTTATTGCGACATTGGAGGCTCATATCGATCTTGACAGGTTTCCATCGCACGCAAAAGCGGCCGCCTGAGCGGACTACCGCATGCGCCTATGTCCGTTTGTCATTTCTATCAGCCTGGAATGAAGCGGAGTTTGGTCACTGTCCGAGTCCTAACCTTCAGGCAAACGACACTCACTTTATTCCTCTAAGCCCTTTGCCTAACTCACGATCGTTCCCAAAAGTTCTAATGCTGGTGGCTTTTTGGGGTCCTGAGACCAGGGTCCAACAGTAATACCGAGCAGTTGGTCTTCGGTACGTGAGGATTCCAGGAACGTTCCTGAAGAGGTTGCAGGCTTGGTTGCCGTGTTCCGAAGATGCATAACATAATTGAAGGCGTTTTCATATCACATTGGTGATGAAGATTATAAATCTCTTATAATAGGTGGACTTGGCAGATGATACTTATTCGATACATGCCCGAAGCCATCGTGATCAAAACTCCTCTGGCACTCTTCTCAAAAGCGTGCCAAATGAACAGCATCGTGGCCCGTCAAGTCGATGTAGCCCAAATGAGGTACCAAGCAACACTGGTGCACCGGGCTCCTACGCTGCTGTCAACTTGACAGCTACTTGGCCTGAAACGATAAGGCTTGTCGTTGGTAACGTAGAAGAGGAAGGAAGGTGGACAGAAGGTTGAGCTTTGATCAGGGGTCCAAGCTTGGTAGTGAGTGTAAGCTTGAGTTTAGATAGGAGTAGTGCGTCTATTTGGTCTAGACATGGGCTACGCTCTGTGGGAGAGGGATGAGGAGAGTCATGTTAGTTGTGTTAGCAGTCGAGCATTATTCGTAAGATAGAACTGCTTGGGTGATCTGGCCAGTAAGAGACTGAGGAAGCATGCCGATGGCATTGAGACCGGGCTTAAACTTGCTAAGAATGCTGAATGGCTTCTAGTTCAATATTGCGTTGTTCCTTGGATTTCTATCGAACGTTTGACAGAGTCGACTTCCGGGTACGTTGATATGTCCGTCATGTTCGCCTATTGATTTCCGTTAAGGACAAGCGTTGTACGCTGGGATCAGCTGTCATCACGATTCACTGCTAGCTTAGTTATCACAAGGCAGCACTGCATCTTGGCTACCTAGTGCAACCTAGGAACGAAACTCTTCTCATAGTGACTCAGTAGTATTCATCCAGTTTATCCAATATCTAACTCCTCGCGCCAAGGGTATAAGCGTCCCATACAAGACACATTCGCCAAATATCCAAAGCGTATCAAACATCGCTTGCTTCCAAACAAGAAAAGGGTATTCTGTGTAGATGTTTATATGTAGTTCATTTACTCGGTTCACCTCCCTTCAGTAGTCCAACCTGTCGATCATGTTCGCTCCTCAGTTGCTTTTCTCCTGTGGGAACAAGAGTCTTCTCTTCTAGTTCTAGGTGAAAAGCTGGATCACCTGCGCGGAACTTCTCACGGATGCCTTCTGTGCCTGGGTCAAGAGTCGGAAGGGGTGACTCGGATGCCTTGATAGCGTCGTCTGGCCAGAGAATTCGGTGTGCTTCTTCGACTGTGAGAGGTGGCTCGTCAGGTGGTGCGGCCGGAGCCGGTGGTGGGTCAAATACGGCTTGTCGGGGGGTCGTCGGAGATCCGATGCCTGTAGATCGAGATGTAGAGGTGGGTATCCCTGTTCGGGCCCTTGGTGTCCGTGCGGGGCTATCGGTGATCAGCGCCGCAAGGTCTGAAGATCCCTGGTAATCGATTCCCCTAGTGGCTGTGCTTGTGGTAGCTGCAGATTGGGGAAGGGACCTAGTTACTGATGTCGAGTAGAGACTCTCGTCATCGTCTTCGTCTTCGTCAGAGTCTGTGTAGTCTCCCTCGGTCTCAACCATGCTGTGAAGAGTAATGCCGTCCGCAGTATCAGCTGGCGTCCGCTTAAGAACCTCAGATTCTTCCCTGAGCACCTTCTCCTCGTTGGTATTGGGACCGATTGGGATGTGATGTTGAATAGTCGATCGTTTACGGTCCATACGAAGGATGTTCCTCATAAGATAAAGCTCATGCTTCTTGTAAGTCTCGTAGTATGCCCGACTGACCATAGCTGCTGAATGAAGATCATCCAACTCTTCCAGTTGACACATAACACGAAGGCGAATGATCTCGGGAAACTCTGTAGCGACGCTGTAGGTCGGGTCATGCGCAGCCATACGATTGAGGCCTGTATTGAACTGGGTTTGAGGTTCTCGTTCCTGATGTTTTGACAGACCCCAGCCATGACTCTTGCCGCTGATGTCGAAGAGCGTAAGACCCAGAACACTGTTGTAGATATCACTGATAGCAGAGCGGAACACTGGGCCTGGGTCGCAAACGCCACGGTGCACTGGTGTCGGTGGTGCTGGGATTCTCCTCAAAGCATCCACAATCTGTGCCAAACTTTTCGACTGCGGTTGTGATCTGGGTAAGTGAGACAGTACATCCGACGACATGATCTGGGGCAAAAGGTTCATTTCGTTATAAAGGAGCATCAACCAGCCCAGATTGGTGGCGTCACACCAATGACTTCCCTTAGGACACCTCGGAGTACTCGTCAACATCATAGGAGGAAGTGCGTCCGGCGCAAAGTTGGCATTGAGCGGCGTGGGTTCAGCTTGCTCTAGATTGTCATATGTCGGCTCTCGTAAGTATTCCCTAACGGCGCCCATACAGCACTCATGGATCTGCGCAATCTTTGCGCAACGGATAGCCCAGATTTTGTCTTTGATCTTCTGCGGCCATGGCTTTGCGTCCAACTCCTTCTCATCGACAAGATTCAGGATCGTAGTTTTCGACATGCGCGAGAACAGTCGTCGCAGACCAAAGGCATAGCTTATGACCAAGAGACCATCGGGCATGTCGTCCGCCCCTTTGTGCATCCACTGAGGTAACCATTTGTGCTCAACGATGAGTTCCAAAGGTGAAGTACTCTTGTATCTCATACAACATTCGGCGATAGCAACAAACTTCTCGAACTCAATCTCTCGTGGGATATTCTCGCTGTGGTGATGCGCGGCATGTAACAAAATCTCCAGGGAATCCATGTGATTCAGCTCAACTTGGGGCATGCGGTATAGTCTAGCCTCAGAACCATCTTTGCAGTAGTATTTCGTTGGCGGCAACGGCAACTGTGACGAGATGTCTTCATCGTCGTAAAGATGGAGACTGCTGGAATGCCCAGCAAACATTCGAGCAAATATGGGCGAGGTCTCGGCAAGCATGTAGGAGGAGACTCGAAAACGAATCGCCGGATCGCTGAAACTACATGCAGGGCCATTGTTGGCGAACTCGAGGATCGCATCGCCTCGCTGTGATATGGTAAACTCTTGAATAGTTCGGTCGGGAGAGATGCCCGATTCGCCTGTCTGAACAAGCTGTCGTATCTCATTCAACTCTTGCTTAATTCTCTCATAATCGTAAAATCGCATTTCATATTTCGGAAACTGCAAACGTCAGTTACAGCGCTTCGTTGCTGACCACGATGCACTTACAAATTGAGGGTCTGCCGACATAACCCGAGTGACGCTAGCATTGCGCATCCTCTGGACAGCCTCTTTCCGGAACCTTTTATTCGTAAACAGCGCATCCACCTGTTCTTGCGTTGCATCGCGCTCATTATTCTTGTAAGTCTCGATCAGGCATGTCCGACAAGCCTCAGCCAGTGACTCAAGCCAGTTCTTCCATTCGCGCACCGACGATAACCAGGCTTCGCTCTGGTGTATACTCTTCCCAACACTGCCAGAAACAACTTCAGCGAGACTTCTCCCGCTGAAAGAACTTCGGGTATCGTAGATATGGCTGGGACTTTGTGGTGAGTCGACCGCCGAATCGCGGCGCATGAGATCACCGCCATTGCGAGAACCACGACCAAGCTCTTCTGTTAAGATGAGGCGACATAACGTAGCGCATTGCTCTTTGTGTTTTTTAAAGTCTTTATAAGCCGAGTCGACGTGGTTGGGCGTCGTAGGGAAATTTCGAGGCATTCGCTGAACAATAGTCTGCAGTTGTCGGATATGCGTCTCTTGACTGTCGAGCGGGTTCGCATTATGGCCATCGGGGGATTTGGCATTAAGATCGAGGTCGGAGGTGCTCGTCTCGGGCGGGTGCTGACTGATTACCCTGATCTATACCGCTACATCAGCATTCGCACTTGTAATCATGAACTTTTGAAACCAACATGTCTTGGGATCTTATTAATCAGGGATTTCCACTGTCGACCGCCTGAGCCGGGAGGAGGCCCATCGCTGGATGTTCTCGAGACCATGTCGACCCTCATGGAGAGATTGGACCGTTTGTCGCCGGAGGGGACGGAGTTTCGGGAGGATCGCATCAAGCTGGGGTAGAGAGCGCAGCGTCAATGCTAGCGCCTGACCACAGCATTGTCGTCAGAGCGTGGCAAAGAGGCGCCTCGCTAGAAGACTGCCGGGTGCGAGGTTGTGATGTGCTCTGGGTTGTTGTTAAGTCTGCGGTGACTAATATCGTAGGTGGTTTCGAGGTCGCGACTCGACTTGTCCGTTCAACCGGGGTTGTCGGGCCTTTGGTGCAACGTTAGGTATGTGTCCCAGGGAGCCGGAACCGGATTGACACGTTCTGTCGTAATGCGAGTGTAGTATTGAAGCACAGTTCGTTAAATGGGTCGTTGATAATACCTGAGAGGGTCGAAGTAATCGCGATCCAGAGTATTGAGAGTCAATAGTATTGTCTTCGGTTATTGCGTCGTCTCAAGACTAGAAAAGGCAAGGCAAAGCGAAAGCGAAGCGAAGACCCGGAAACTGAATTGAGGTGACAGAAAGTGGAGGACGCTTGGGGGGTCTTAAAGGTGGGCTCCGCTCCTTCCCTCCTCGATGGGATGGGAAAAGCTGGGGTTGAAAACTGGGGCAAGTGCGAGAGAGATTTTGGGTCCTTGGCGTCTAGGCCTTTGCTTTTGTTCTCGTCTCTTGACAACTAACGTTAGTGGATAACAAAAAGCAAGGGCAGGCTCGTCTGTCTTGGTGCGGAGACGGTGAGATATTTGAGGCCGATGATTAGGTAGAGTCCGATGAGGATAGACCGTACGGACATTTCCGGTTAAGTAGAGGTAAAACACGGTATAACCATAAATTATGACGGATTGTCAGAATGCCATGTCTCCTTGTTCAGTGGAGTCGAGTAATACCAACTGCAGTGCGCAAAGAGGTAAGACGATTGCGGGGGAGGAGACTTGTCACGAGGTGAAGCAGGTTGTCCGTTGAACCGTTTCGTTTATGTACGCCCGTTTTATAACGGTCACCAACAAAAGGGTCCTAATAACTCATAAGTCAATGTGAAATATGTCTGCCTACAGTCTTGTTACTATTCTAATAGATGGGTTAATATCCAATTATTGCTTTTGACTCGGATATCTGACCTCCATGTTAAGATCCACCAAATCTGAGACCAAAATAAGTTCACGATCGAGGTACCCGCTCAACCTCTTTGACCGGGCGATCTGGAACCAGGGTCTGCGGGAATAATTATAGTGATGTTTCCTTTTTCTTCCTTGTTTACTGTCAATTGTCAGCCTCATTGTTTACATGACACGGCATAAGGATCAACAGGTGCTGCCTGCAGTGTCGTGTTCCAGGCAGCTCTTATTGTGCACAGCCATTGACAGGCCTCAAGAGGAGTCAGTATGCCTATAGTCCTAAGAATACAGTCCTATAAGAGTGACTTATGGTATTCAAAGCTCTCAATGCGTCTGAATGTCTGTGCATAAGACTTATAGAGCAGCACTCGGTGGTTATCCTGTCATAGATGTTGCAGAGCTCTTGTCTACAACTATGATGGACTGAGAATGAGAAGATGACCAAATGCGACACGTTTTTAAATACATCGTCGTTCACGCACACACTTCAGTTGTCAAAATTAATAGAAAAAATCAATATCTTAATTTTAAACACAAAAGAAATAGTGAATCAATTTGTATTATTCCTCATAATCGCGCCTCATCTTCTATCCACTCATCCTCCTCTACCAACCCTATACCACTACTTCAACTTCTCATTCTCCTCCCCAAACACAAAAACAACTCTATCCCTCCCCTTATCCTCCCACCCCTTCTCAACATCATCAAACCGATACTTCTTCAGCCCTTCACTTCCAACACCAACAAGCACCTTCAACATACCAACAGTCTCAGCACCAAGCTCTCTCGGATCCCAAGACCCCGGCCCGGAGCCCCGCACCGTAACATCTCGACGCCGCAGCCCCATCGCCGAAATATCCCCTCCGTCACCGGCCATGCTTCCGATGTTGATCCAGGTAATCGCGTTCTTTGCGGCTGCGGTGCTGGGACTTAGGAGGAAGGCGTTGGGCCAGGGACCGTATAGGAAGTCGAGCACGATGTCTGCGTCTGCGGCGGCGGAGAAGTCGGTTTCTGTGGGTTTGTCGTTCAGAACAACACTGGCGTCCAAGTCGAGCTTTGAGAGAGCTTCTTGGTTGCGCGCTGAACCAACAACACTCGTAGCCCCAAGGCTTCTCGCAACTTTAATAGCAATTTTTCCACTCGCAGTAGTAACACCATTAATAAACACCTTGAACCCAGCACCCTCCTTCAAACTCGCCCTCTTCCTCAACGCCATCCAACTCGCCATGACGGGATTGATCAAAGCCGCCGCGACAACGGGATCAACACCCTCGGGCAGCTCAACGATATTGTGCGAGGGCGCATTGACGATCTCCGCATAGCTGCCCTGCGTGGTACCCAGCAGAGAAAAGTATACTTTCTTGCCCGTAGACACATTGACGCCTACGCCGTCCACACCAGGTCGGTGGGGGAGTTCTGTAGCAGTGTAGTGTTTGCCAGCTGCTCTTGCGCGGACTAGCTGGTGAAGACCGGCAGCGATGACACGGATCTCTGTTTCGGAGTCGTTGACCGGAGCTTGGGGAGGGACGACATTTACAGATTTGGGGGATTGACCCCATTCTGTGACTTCAGCTGAAAGCATGCTCATATTGAAGGTATGGATGTAAATGTAGTATAATTGTGAGAGTATGAGTGAATGGCACAACACTTCGAAGGAACTATAGCTACATCTTTATACTTCCCCTCTCACCATCTACAATCGCCCAAAACGTCACTTTGGCGACAATGTGTCAGCATCTATTCTAAGATCTAATCCTACTCCACTGCAGAAGACATCAGCCAGTATTCTTAGTAATGTTGCTAAGCTTCAGGAATTACCGCACATACCCGCGCGCGCGCGCGAATAAGGGACCGCCCCGACATGAATAATACATCATGTAATCGGAACTTCGGCATCATGCAGGCAACACCAAGTTAATAGTCTTACTCTTTATGGTTGTTACTGAGAAACCGCTGTGCATTAAAACTTTCATTTATCTCTTTTCTGTGCTTCGTTACATCTGGCCATGCTTTTTTTCTGACAACCATCTAGAAAAACCGCTTGAACCCTTCTTTGCCCATGCAGCCTAGCTTGTAGGATATACTGTAAACCGCTTTGTTCCCTCCTCCCGCTTCCCCCTAAGATGGACTTTGACTTGTCTTTAATGCAATTGCAGCTGTGTATATAAAACGCCTCCTCCCAACCGGCCATGTGTAGAAAGACGCCAACGCCTCTTCGTTTCCATGTTTGTGCTTTGCAACCAATCAACAAACCAACCAGTTGTCCGTCCATACCATTCCTTTCCTTGCCATATCCTCTAGCCAGCGGATCCGGCCTTGCTGTCATTCTTTCATGCCATGCCATGCCACTGAAACCGACCCTCTTGCTTTGCCAATCTGTAAATCAACCGCTAACCACTGCGGTATAAATGCTATGAATAAAACACTCTTGGACATCAATCATACACACCTACTACATATGTAAATATCGTCACCTATCTGGACGATCCAGAACAGTGTCTCCAATGTGCCTTTGTCATCTCTTCAACAGTCTTCCATCCATCTTGAGTCGTTGATCGCGGTATGGACTTTGCAGTACGCCTTATCCAAAATGGCAAACAGCCGTTTATAGATCAAGGAACGGTTGCAGTGCTAGGTGTAGCCCGATGGCATATCCCAAAGTCGCAGGCCGAAAGATCTGGCCAACGTGTCTCGTCGCTTCTCAGATCGAGACTACCAATCAGCCACCCTTTCGTTCTGACTCGTGCTTGGGAGGTTGCTCGCCGTTTCCTTGCTGCGCATTGTTGTTGTTGCCACCCTTCTTCTTGCCCTTGCCGGCCTTCTGCCAGGCGTTGTCGCTTTCGCTTCTAGCCCCGCGGACGTGGCCGTTTTCCCGGTTGCCGTTGGACTTCGAGTTTCCCTTCTGGTTCTTCTGAGACTTGGTTCCCTCTTGAGAATTGTGCGACTGCTCTTCAGACTTCTGACCTCCCTTAGGCCCATCTCCACGGCCTGACTTGGGACTGTTCTGCTTCTCGGACTTCCATGGTCCATCCTTTCGAAGAACCGTAGGAGAAGGAGTGCGAGTCTCATATACTGGTGAGAGGTGAGCAAAGTCTTGGCCAACAGGGCGATCAATGCGGTTCTCAGCGATAGCGAGATCGAGAGGAGCTATCACACCATTTTGGTTCTGGCGCGACATCAGACGCTGTCGAGTCGAAGGAGACAAGCGAGAGTTTCCAACATTTGGATCCTGAACAATATGAGGAGTCCCCATGTAGTAAGCGCTCATCATAGCGATGCGATCACGGAACGAAGGGTCATCCGTTGTTGATGGAGCTGCAGCCATAAGTGGCGCAGTGGAGCCGTTGGCCACCACAGGAACCTGGTTAAAGGCACCTTGTTGGTTCACAACTCCTTGCGGCTCAACTGGAGGCAAGATGGATCCATCAACAGGATAGCTGGGCATTCCATTTGCAGCATGGATCTGCAGAGGGTTCTCGAAAGTGGGAGTCTCCTCATTGCTGCTCTCTGCTCCAGAAGGGACTTGACGCGGGCTCGGGGTCACGCTTGTCTTCAAACTCGATCCGTTCACGACCAAAGGGCGTCCCAAGTTCTTGTTCTGAGTTCCAGGGAAAGGCCCTTGTGCCAATGGCGCTGATGCAGCGGTAGTCGTAATATTTCGTGCTTGTCCTAAAGGCGAAGGCGATCGTGATGTCCTCTTCATTCGACGGTCGAGAATTGTTTGGGGAAGCTGGTCTGTCGACAATCGTCTGCGCCCGGGGCTGGAACCCTGACTGGACAGATCTCCAAAAGCAAGACCATTCGTAGCCGGCACTGGCTGTTGAGGTTTCTTGCTGGGGCTGGGGCTCTCCGACAGGTAAACAGAATATTTGCCCTCCTCCGATTGTGGGGAATCCGTAGTCGCCTTCGGTGTCTCATCGAAATCTGTATCATCAGACATGAAACTTGGGATTGGGTTGCCGTTGGCGCCTCGAGACTGTGTAGGCCCGCTAAAGGATTGAGCACCGAAGTACGCAGTACCTGCCTGTGATGATGACGGGGAACGCGATGCGGGCTGCGAATGTGAACGCAGAGTACCGTTTGACCCTTGAGCACCTGATTCGTTAGTCACACCATTTCGCTGCAGTGGACGACGGAAGTCCTGAGTAGCTCCAGTCGTACTAGCAGGAGACGAAGGATATGTTCCGTAACTTGCACCTGCTTGAGGGAAGAACTGTTGTCCCAAACTCATCCCGTATAAAGCATATATATCTGGTCGCAGGGGCGCGCTGAGCGGCGGGTTATCGAACGAATTTGTCCTAGAACGATCCGATGTCTGCTGCGGCGTTTGTTGGGCCGATCCTGCACTTGTCGACATTCTCTGCTGTTGCTGCTGCTGATGTTGACTCATTGCTTGGGCCTGCTGCTGCATAAATGCTGGCGACTGACTGGCATACAAGAGTCTCATATTCTCTTGGTGCAACGCCATTTGAGTCATGAGATCCTGCTGTGCATATTGGAACTGGAACTGTGGGTTTTGGTACCACTGCAGTTCCTGCGCCATGTTCACCGGCTGCATAAACATATTGTTGTTGTTTGCATCGAATTGTGGAACGCCCGCAGATGCTCGCCGATTCGAATTTCCGCCTCGGTAGTTATTGTTATGTCGTCCGCCGCCGCGATGGTTACCTCGGCCTCCACGTCCTGAATGTGTCTGTGACGAGCTGCGAAGCAGGACAGGTCGTGGCTGTGGTGCTGGTCGAGACCATACTCTTTCCTCCTCTTTAGGGAACACGTACTGCTCGCAAGCCTCCTCAAGATTCGCCACTGAAATCAGATCAAACGCTCGACGCAACTCGATATGTAATCCGCGGAAAGAATATTCATCGGCCGTGTTTCCGAGGTTTCGAGACGTATTGAAAGGTTCTTCGACACATAATTGGTTGTTGATCGCGTAATGCCATTTCTTGTCGTGCTTGGTGAGCAACTTGCCCTGTCGTACGGAGAGAACGTGCTTGTCGTAATCAAATTCGTGAGCGTAGAAGCGAAAGAATTGGAACAAAAGTTCCGCAGCGGATGCCTTGTTCTTGTTTCCAAAACCAGCCAGCTTCTCAACATCGTCGGCAAAGTCGGGGAGGGTACCGTCGGGCTTGGGTATCTTGTGTGGCGACTGATGCAGACAGGGGAGAACGGGCGGGCTGCGCAGCTGCAGGAACGCGATGATCAAACAAATCCAAGTGTACGAACTCAATGTGCCACCAAATGCTACCAAACCGTTAGACAAGAGTTTGTGAGGGGAGAAGCCACATACCGGCGTCATTGACTATTCTTCTCCGTGTCCAATGCTTTACAATCATGGCAAGCTCGCGAACTCGTGGATCAATATCGATATATGTTCGTACCATTCGGGTGTTCTCAAGTGCAAGTGTGTTGTTGACGTTCATGTCGCACGCAAGGCCCAGCTCGGGATCCCATATTTTGACAATAGGCACCTTGGCAGCCGAAATACAAACAACCTTTTCCATTCCCCCTGATCTGCTGTTAGCGAATTATTTGTGGTCGTGCAGAGAGATACGTACGCTTCGCTAGAAGGTTGGCGATCATGCAAACACCCTCCAATTCGTGCCACGAGGTTGTGATGCAAATGTCCACTAAAAAGGGTTAGATTGTGGTCAGCGGCTTAGAAATATTGACGTACCATCAGAATCATCCGAACAAAGAAGATTTCCAGATGAACCAAAGAGATTCACCCGAATGTCATGTCCGGGCCACTCGTCATTGAAGATCTTTTCAAGCTTCGACACTAGTTTCTTTCGGTTCTCCTCAACAGCGGCTGTAGGCAGTAGTCGGTCAAAGACCTCTCGCATATCTGTGGCCAGCTTTCGCTCCTCATCATCAGACAACTTGTTCTTGACCGTCCGCAAGTCCAGCTTTTCCAGACGATCATTGCCGACCGAATACGGTATTCTCCTCCTAGAATTTATCTGGGCGGTCTCGTATTTGCAGCCTCCTAATCGCGGCGGTAAAGGCCGAAGCGCAGGTAATGTACTATTTGTCTCAGAATAAGCCGAGCGTGGCGAGTGGTTATTTGTCCCCGTGGGTGACGGTTCGCGGTCCTCAAATGAAAATTGCCGAGCGTGCTGGTGAGGCGTCGAGGGCACTGAACTAGAGTGGGACTGAGCCGAGGGTGCGGATCGTCGGGGTAAAGGCCTCGATGAGTCGGCGGCCTGCTTGGAAGACATTTTGGACGGAACCTCCTTGGAGGATGCAACCGAGCGACTCTTGTCTAAATTCTGATGTGACCTGCTCCCATGGCCTCCAGCTGTGTTCCCCTTGCCGGCGGAGGCGTCCCTTAGCGACACCTTGCTAGACGATCGCGACCGTGGCGCCGCCTGGATATGAGGAGCAGAGATGACGGGAGGGAGTGGCGGTGTCTGCAGGCCGCCGCCGCGAGAGGGGGAAATGAGCTTATTGTAGTGGAGGAGTTGAGCGTGGTAGATGTTTGATTGAGGGAGGAGAAAGGCCGGGAGAAAGTCGAGGCGTGGGGAGTGAAATTGTGTGGCGGACGGGTCGGCGAAGAAGTAGCCTTCGGCGGCGGTTGCGCTGTGAGAACTCGTCGCAGAAGGTGTCGTTGGATTCGTTGTGCTCGATGATATCGTCGAAGAAGTCCAAGGACTGGAGGGATAAGGATGATGAGGTTCTGCGGTTGTGGTCTGGGCGTCCATATGGAGCAACGAGCGAGCCCCGGGATGGTTCAAGTGATTGCGGGGACCGACGGCAGTATATGCGTGACGACGTTGCGTGCGTCTGGGCTCGTGGATCCGACCGAATCTCTTGCTTCGGTTCGGTGGCGGCGAACGCTATAGAAACGGGAACTGGAGCAGCGGGTAGAAAACGTCGTGCAATGCAATTCTGCTCTGAGCGCTAGAGAAAGTCTCAAGACTTCAGCATGCGATCCAATGCCAAAGTGTATCGTAGAGCCAGGGGCGAATCTGATCGCTGACGAGAAGACGCTGTTCCTGGGTGGGAATAGCGAAAGAGCGAAGCAACGTCAGAGCAAGAGTGTAAAAGACAGCGAAAGCGTATTCGACCGAATATGAACAATGACGAGAAACAGCGCCGAATATGAGTCGGAGAAATGCTGAAAGATTGCAGCTGAAGTGCAGTCGGTATAACAACGATTTCCCGGCGACGCGGAATAATAATGGCAATGTAGGTACGATTCGAGAGACGGAGAGCAGTAGGCCTGTGGACTGGACTAATGGACTATGAACTGAACGTCGGAGAGGCTTGTGCTTGTGCCTGTGGGGGGGCTCGTTGCCAAAAGGGGGTCGCTCGGTGCGAGGGACGCCGGTTCACCTCGTCTCGTCTCGTCGGGGGGAAAGAGGGCGAAATGATGGTACTGAACTGTTCAGGGTCGATCAAGGACGTGGCGAACGAGGAGCCGATCAGGAGCAGCAGCAAAACGTATGGAATCGAGAAGCGAGTAGAGTTGATAGTAGAAGAGGTAGAAGAATTATGAAGAAAGAAAACAGAGACAAAGCAAGATTGGAAAATGCGGATGTGTATGGGAATGACAAGCGATGGCGTTTAATAGCGGGATGGATGGATGGATGGACAGGCCCGTTGGGTTTAGTTTTTGCCGTCAGGGAGAAGAGAGTATGAAAGAGTAAAAAGATCCAAGACAACCTTAGACAATGGACAAGAAGAGACGAGAGACACGGAACTGACTGGGACTCTTCTTGGTCTGGTCTGGTCCTTCTGGATCTGAGGGGAAAGTAATATCTCGTTACGGTAGTCGTTCTGGATCTGGTAACATCAATATTGGGGGAGATGCAGGCCTTCACCGGGAGTTTTAGTTAGTGCACCAGGTACCTGACTGTACTGTGCTGTCCTCCACTGTACCTGCCTCTCCATGGGCCCGAGGAGGCTGACTGCTGGGTGTGAATCTTGGTGTCGCACTGTATCTAGCATCGGCGTTATGCGCACCTGTAAATAGTGCACACCTCCGAAAAGAATAAGCTCACCTGCAGTCCCAACGGGGACGATCTTAAAGCTCACCTAAGCCTTTATCGTATATTCAAAGCCAAAGGCGTATGGCCATTCTACGCTAAAGCTTTCATCGCTGATGCTGCTTCACGATGCTCTTGACAATGATGACCATGATGGTTTAGCACAGTGTTTGATAGACGAACCTCAGTTAGCCCCAACACCTCACCGTCCGATGCAGCGAATGGGCCTTTGTGCCGGGTAGTGAAAGCGGGGATATTGGACAGCCTCAGCAGAGACAAGCCCCGGGAAGGTTCAAAGCAAAGACCATCAAAGGGTCAATGTTTTGGGAGACATGACCAGAGGGATACAATAGAATTGGTATTGAACGTCTAGCAAGCAATAGCCCAGAGGCTGGACAAACAAGCGAAGGATGGTATGGGGCTAGAATAGGAGTTGGTTCAGAGGGGGGTTTGTCCACTGCACTCCTTACTGCAGGTAGCTTATCCACCTAGCCACCAACGACGTCGTCCAGCGCCTTAGGTTTTGAAATGGAATTACAGTGAAATAGCCCTGTCCTTCCCTGGTTATCTCGAGAGATGGATTGGATGGAATAATTCAATCGGGTGCTATTTCGATATACCGTGCGATTTGGTTTAATTGCTGACTGTTCGGGGCTCTTGGCTTTGAGATTAGAAGAGATGAAAGGTAAACGTTCTGCACCTGAGATTACCTGACCAAGATCACATCACATCACATCAACTGTTGTCCATTGACGATACGCTGTACAACGCCAGCTGTGGACAAACTCCATTCATCATCGATTTTACGGATACAGCTGCTCCAGCATTGAGCTGGAGCTGCCCTCAAGGTTGGTCAGTCAAGGTCACTCCTGGTCCGGCTAGTCTAGCGCTGTGTCAGTATCTACAGGGGAACACGATGGCCCGGGCAGGGACCCTGATTCTGCTACCCCCTGACGCTGTACCCACCTGTCCTGGCCCTGGATATCTGCCCCGGTTGGATTGACTCCTGGCCGCTTACGATCCATCCATGCTTAGGCCTGGCTGTTGTTGTGTTGGTACGAGGCCATCAAGTCGTTTTTTGCGTCATGTGACGTGATGTTGTACTTGATTTGCTCGTACCCGCCCATCAAAACCTCTCTGTTCCTGAGAGGGCGGGTTCTGGATTTCGAGGGGTCGGTCCTCCAATTCCCCTCAAACTCAGGACCCCTTTGTTTGATGGTATTTATTTCTGGACGTAATTAGATGCAATAGGTATCACGATCAAGGTAATGGAAGGTGGTACGGCACGTCAGGTCGGCAAGAATAAGCCAGGTGATTCTGCAGCGCCGTGCAACTGGCCTAATAGAGTGAGAGATGGCTCAAAAGCCCGGACATATCCGTGCGAGTTCGGCGCTTTTTCTTTTCTTTCACCTTACTGCAATGCAATGCTCTGCTGAGATGCAGCCTCAAAAGTGACCGGACTCTGTGGGGAAGACATGCAGATACTAAAGGTACATGCTCAACTAACCGCGACTAATCTGAACTAAACTAATCTGTGCTGTGATGTGTGTGTGGATGGGATGTAAATGGAAAGGGCCTCTCTCCCTTTCATGATGCATTTCTCATATGATGATGATCGAACGAGGCGTCTCTCCTTTTTGGTCTGGAGTAGTAATTACACTTGGAATCAACCGTCAACGTCGTTTGTTATGTATCATCTCATCCCAACCTGAAGCAAATATCCACAGTTTTTCCATCTCCGCGATGGATGGAAAGCCAACACAAATATTTGTCCGATTAACAATACATTTCCCATCACTCGTATACGATCCTTACGATCAAATGGGAGGCGAAACACCTGCAAGATGCATATGCTGAATCAACAAAAAGGGAATTGATGCACCAAAAGCCCACTAACGGCCCGTGTGCTTCCCCTTCCATGCCGATGCCAGCGCATTGAACGAGATGTTATGTGATGTATCCGTAGCCGCCGCAGCAGGGATGCTTTTGGTGATGATGCTTGGGCTTGCTAAAGTTTTTGAGGTTTCGTGCCTCAACGGCTTCACCTCAGCCTCTCGTCATACTACAGTACAGTACAAGACTCCACCAAACTATTGATATTTTGCAATAATCTGAATCGAACAAAATATGCACAGATCTCGAATTAATTAATCGATCTTACCAGAGTCTAGCGCCTGATCAGCCCATTCATGTCTAATACCCAAACTCAGCAAGCCGAGACAATCAAGACTCTGGTAGGACAGAAAAGTCTCAAGGTCTCGTGATGCTTCATCTCTTCTCGTTCGTATCTTTGTTTAGCAATTTCGTGAGAGCAAGTCCTGACGAACGTATAATTAATTCTCCTTGAAAGTGTCTCACCCTTTTCCAGCCTCTTACTTCATCATTTCTAGAATTCCGCGCCATTGTCATACCTCTAGGTCCTCCCTTTTGGAGGGAGTCAAAGGAGTTGGTATCCCTTTTTTACTTGCTTGGAATCTCAGGAACATTGATCAATGTCAGCCTCATCATTTACTGAGGGTGTATATACAGTATAGAGTTCAACTAAGTTTGTTCCTTGCACGTGCGCTTAGCTTACCTTCCCGTAACTCTACTGTACTGTGCCTAAGTACATATTACTCTTACTCATGACGATCGATTAAAATAGTGGTCTAGTCTCCGTGCATCGTATCACGTCCCGTCTTCGTCTGGAAATACGATCTCCCCCCCGTGTCTATTCCTGGCCACTCAGTATCATCTCAATTTATGCTCATCCATTCACTGGACCGGCCAAGGTCTTTGCCTCGCTCTAAGGTCTCGTCTCGGGAGATCATCCACCAGCCTCAAGCCACACTTCTTTTTCTACCGACCACCATGTTACATGTGTTTCCTCGTGGTTTCGCCATGTCTTTTCAGCTCGTGTTTTTGTTTTCTTTTGAGGTGTCTGTTGATGGCACACCAATCTCCTACCGCTACAGGTACAACCACACCTTTTCGAGGTCCTTTTAGGTAGAGCGGACACCCGTTTAGGCGTCTCCGCGCTTCTACTCTCACAGTGTGTTGTCACCTGTCAGCAACAACCAGTAAAACGCTCTGCCTTAACTTGAATGGGCTGAAAAGCTGACTTCAGGCTGACGAGAGGTGGCTTGTGAACTATTGGCGGGCTGCTGTAGAAAGTATTCAGCCATCCAATCTGGATGCTAAAAACTCAATTGCCCTAGGCCATGGCTAATAGTTTGGTAAGAGGCTGGCTGACACTTCTCTCGCTCCTTCCACCAGTACATCTCGACAATATAGAGGCAGCGCTACCACGGAAGGCTTCTTGCCTTGACAAACGACCAACACCCACATTGGATGCTCGTAGCCGAGTCTTCCCCGGGCATTCAACTTGTTAGCAATCGATTTGCTGGTTTTTGATGTGACGATCATTATCCAACACTTCCATCGGATGCTTGCCCGCTTGCTTTGCTTGTCAACAATCGCGCATTCGTTTGATTCGAGACGCGAACAAACGCGATACCTGCATTTTTACCGCGACGGCTGCCGTTGCTTGTTTTCCTTTGTCCATTTTTTTATTTACCAAGCGGTCCTTCGCATTGCCGTCTGTAGACCAGGCCCTACTTCGGTGCAACGATACAGCCAGTCATGAAGCGCCCGAACTCGACTGCCGCAAAGATGGAATATAGGAATCATAGATTCCATCCTGCGGCTTGTCGCTGCAAAAGCGGTCTGTCACAATATGTTGCTACAACAATTCATGGATGCCTGAGATCCAACCGTTTGTTCTCAAGTGAGAGCAAACGCTATTGGCTGGAATGCTGCATTGGTTTGCTCCTTCCAAACCCAAATGCTTACCTTGGAGAGACAAAGACAAATGGTCCTTCATGTTGCTCAGGTGACTCTTACGAGGAGTCATCTCAAGTGCAATGGACTCGATGAAGCAATTGCATCTTCAATCCGACATCCATGTCCTTGCAGTGTTGCACGATGGACATACCGCGCACGCGGATAGCACACATATGAATACTTAAACAAGGTGAGATACCTATCTTTGTTCAATGCCACCGTCAATCCAAGTGAATAACCACCCATCAATGGACGCCTCACAGTCATTCCGATTACTACCATACTGTTGCTTTTGCCTCTTTGAGCTCAAAGCTGGGGACAATGCCATCAGGCCTGTCCATAAACCAGAAGGTTCGTCTTTATAGACTTGATACTACCCATCATCGATGTGCCTGTCCGCTGACTCATAGCATCAGTACGTGCGCCTGATACACCCAATACGATCGAATTTGAGTACCAACCATGGGTTTTCAACCCACAAGATCCGCAGAGCGTTCCACCTCGCAGATGGAAACGCTCGAGGGAAGCTATTCCGATAGCACATCTGGCTTGTTTCCAAGAATGGCCTGGTGGTTTTAAGAGGCGCCCCGGCGTCGTCGGTTACCATTTCCAACCCCCATCCTCTGATCTTCTCCGAAGACGAGCGTTTCTATTCAAAGGTCTAAACTCCAAAAGTCCCAACGATATCAACAAGATTGACCTTCAACAGCAAGCAAGGCTTGGTGTAAGAAGCCTGCTCGACAGACAACAAAGAATCCCCCAAGAAGTCATCGATGCAAATAGAGGTTGTGTCCATTTTGTGGTGGATCTTCGCCAACCTCTCTGGGGCATTGCCATGGTGTTCGAGGGCCTCAAGTACATATCACATCTGTCGAATACGCAAGGGGCAGATTTTGAACGTGTACCAGCACGAAGTGATGGTACTCTCGGTAAAGTCACTTATGTATCCAACCATCTCGGCGTGGGGACCTTATACTTGGATGAGACCCGTCTGCCTGATCCTATAAAAGAATGCGCGGGTATCTGGTGGTCTTGCTTTGAGACCAGTGAAAGAATGTCTTTTCTGAGAGGATTTACTGATGTAAGCAATGGACTCATCATCCCACTGCTTGGGCCATAAAGCTGACGTGCACAGGGCTTCAAGATTCGGGACTTACAATTAGTAGAGTCCCCGCAGGCAGCCGGCAAGCCACCCATTAGATGGTCGATACCACCAACAGGTCCCGTATGGTTCGCCGACTTGGATGCCCGGGCTCATGGGACTCCTCACTTCAAGCTCATGGATTGCGGTAGACCTGAGATAACTGGCTACTCAGCATGTATGATCGACGGGGACCTCGTGGACTTGCGTTGTCACGTTCGGAGCGAGAGTCGGGACGAAGCATCTATGCACTACAAAGAAGGCGGCGGTGATCGACTACATGCCGTATGGCTATACTTCCCTATGCAAGACGACGAGCGAGTCTTTGAGATTTGGAGGCGTCGGAAGAAACCTCAATCATGTCGAGATATTCCTATCGTACGTCTCGAAATGTTCAAAGCCCTAACTCGGATACTGACGAATGCCATAGCTACGGACGAATAAAGGGCGCGTGTTCGTCTTGGGAACGCACCCCAACGATCCCCGGTCTCCTGTAATACTCGATCGCCTCACCTCATTTCCTTCACCAACAAATGCTAAATTCTGGTATAGCTGTCTCGAAGGCTGTGTCGACCATCTAGCTTTCGTCACCGCAGACAGGCGGCATGACAAGAACGAACCTTGCGCCCTATTGGTAGGTCCCGCTGCCGTCTTGTCCTCGTCGGGAGTGGGGAACCAGTATTTCTTTACGACGGCCAAGTTGGAGGACGTGGTTAGGGTGGTGCCATGTCAGGCTTGGGCACCTGGATCAACCGGAATTGTTGGGCTTCTGTTCGTCTATTCTGATGAGCATCGTGAAGCCGTGGGGCAGATACGACTCGATTATCTGCTGCCCTTCATGCCGGCTGATCCCACAGGCGACATGTGGCTAGGGCTTAGGCCGCTGTCTTATGGGTTTTTGGTTGACGCGATAAGGTTGATACCGTCGGCTGGTAAGACGATTTATGGTGGGAATTCGTCTGAAGATGGACTGACCTGGCATCGCGTCGAATGGAAAGGCCGCCTAGAGTGGTTGGTTTGGTATGGTTCTTGTTTTATAGCTCATCACCAGCAACCTGTGCCCCCTGGAGATTTAGGGTCGGTACTGGAGACTCAAGGGGGTCGCGAGTGGGAAACCGAAATAGAAGATCGGAAGCCAAATGTCTCCCCATAACTTATTGTTATCCAAAAGTTCATATTGACGCTATTATTGTGTATCGACTAGGCTAATAAGATTCTCGCACCGTCTTCAAGTTCCATAACATCATCTGCCCTCGCAGCCTTTCCACCCCAAATAACCGTCCCTGTCCCATCTATCGCAAAAGCACCCGCCTCCTGCCACTTATTCCCCATCGTGGTCAAAGGACCCTCATCCTCTTCCTCCTCTTCAACAGGATTCACAGTCGCAACCGGTTTCGGCTTGGGCTTTTGCGTTTTCCCCTGTATCGCACCAGCTACCTTCTCACCCAACCACCCCGTCTCTTTCCAACTCTGCACTTGCGTCGATGGGTTCAGAACGTACCACATGCTACTCGTGCCCAGACCCCATGCTGCGTAGAGCGCTCGCTCTTCGTCGACTATTACGCGCACGCTCCATGCGCCGCCTAGAAGATCTACCCACTTCTTTGTTGCTTGCTCTGAGGCGTGGGAAACGGCTATGCATGTTAGTGCGTCGCCGTACCGATTTGCCATTGTACGTAGATTAATAAATGTTTTCTGAGCAACTGTATCTTATTAGCAAAGATGCTCCGCAATGTGTGATGGCAAACTTACATGCACAACCAACACACCGTAAAAACACAAGCAACGTCCTCCTCCCGAGCCTCAACTTGCCAGTTTTATCCAAGGGAGCTTTATCTCCAATACCTGGTAGGCGACCGACGGATACAGCAGCGGGAGGAGGCGTTAGCCACGGCTGTACGCTCAGAGGCAGTGAGCGGACAGACATCCACGAGCCCCAGCTCGAGTCATCTTGTTCAGATGGATCAGGTGGGTTTTTGCGAAGTTTGTTAGGTTCGCGTTTCTCTGTGGGAAACGAAAGTATGTCGCTCGGTATACCGGCTTTTTTTAGGGCGAGTTTTGTTGTGAATGATGAGAGCATGTCTGAGATGATGTGAGATGGAACAGTGTGTATGAGATGAGGGCGGGCCGAGCCGGGTCACCAAGAATGGGTAGCAAGAATAGCTATTTACAATTCCAGTCGAAGATGATACGCGAGTAGATGCAGTATAGCTCAATATACAGAAGAAGTCGTTCTTGTTAGTTGTTGTAGTCGCAGAAAAAAGATGAGACGTGGTGTTGAGATGAAACTCCAGGGGGTTCGGGGGCGCTAGTAGGGGTTTGGAATGGGGGCGAATGGTGCAGGGTAACGCGAATGGTAAAGCTTCGATGCAAGCGGAATGCGATCATCTATCAGTTGAGCCGCATGCTGAGGATGTTGTACTATTTTAAGATAATGTTTATTCTCTTTCATCACGCTGGTGTCAAATCGCTTGCAATCTCGGACTTTCGACTACGAGGCATCACGTCAAGTCTTGGGAACCCATCTACTTTATTTGCAACATGGCGAGTTTGCGACAACTTCGTAAACGGGTTCAAAGGAAATCCATTTTTCTCTCGATGTATCAAATCCGGGCAACTCTAACAAATGTCTACAATTTTCAACAGTTGTTTGACGGTTCTTAAGCTAATTTGTCCAGTCGTATTACCCTGAAGCGCGTTGTGATTGTTGCGCCTTGGGACTCAAGAAGGGTTCGTCAATATCCATCCATCGCAGTAATACATTCCCATCATGTACTTTTTGCCTCCATATCCAACTTGCCAGGCAGGTTACAGAAGAAATGTCCTCTTAGGTTCAGGCCACTAGAATCAAGTAGCCTAATAGCCTGTCTAAGCTCCCATAAAGTGACCCAACCTTTTCTTCTCTTACTTTCTCACTGGCCAACTCTTGACTTCAAAAGCCCTGATATTGGACGCGCGCAGGTGGCTTTGACGGTCCAAAACTGCTTTCATCTCGTCGGGTCTCTCGCCGACATCGGTACGAGGGGCCAGGCCGCAACTTACGACATGGTCAAAGTACCAGTCGAGTCTCCCTGACATCTGCACTTCGAGATATTCATAGAGATTGTTCTCCGACGGCTCGGGCTCAATTACACGAACACACTTGATGGTTCGTATTAAGGGGCCTGGACGGATTCTTTCGCCTTTCCACTTTCTGGAACCGAGCCAGATCTTGCCTGAACGAACTTCCATCGGGGCTTCTAGATGATCTGGTCGAACCAGCCCGACGCACCGCTGACTGCCATCGATATAAGTCAGGAGAAGACCCACGATTGTGCAACCTAAAAAATCCTTTCCCCAAGACCGGCAAGCAGTTATACTCCTGACACCATGGAGGGGGGCGGATGCCACAAGGTAGTTGTTGTGAAATATGTTGTTCGACGTTGGCTCATCATGTGGGAATGGAAGCGAGACCTCGATTTCGCCCGTCCAAGTAGTGACCTCTCCATGACCTAACCACACCTCGAGTTTGGTGGGCTTATCAAAAGCCAGCCAGGTCTTACAGTGTCCAGACCTGGAGTAAAACATTCGCGTTTGGCCGACTGGTGGAAAACTTGCGAGTTTCTTGTAGGTGAACTTCTTCGATTCTTTGCTGTCAAACCTGAGCCAGAAGCTGCTTGTGTCAAGACCGAGAACGCAACTGCGATCCTTGTTTGTGCGGAGCTAGAGCAGGGTCAGCTAAAGGTCTCCACGGGGCCCTGACGAGGGATTGCTCAATAAACGTACTATCATGGTATCTGCTTCAATGGCGTCGTCACCGTACTCTCCCGTGCGGAGCCATAGCTCCGAAACCCGCTCTCCATGGCCCACGGGAAAGTAGATACCTACTACATTCCCGACGTGGCCATGTTGGTACTCGTCGACATGAGAGGTGCGCGAATCCCGTTCCTTCACAGCAACTATGCCACGAAGCTCTCCGTCAGTAATGTAGAAGTAATAGCCACAGATATCTGGAGCGTTCCAGTCTATCGCCTGGATTGCGTCGTAGTAGCTGAGGTTCCGATCATAGCCATCACAAATAGAGGGGGGTGGCGGAAATGTGTCGATACTTCTGGGGAACGTGGCCCAACGTCTAAGATCCCATTTGGGTGAAGGTCTCTCAGGATTTGTGATAACAAAGTCACGCAGTTTGATGCCCTGAAGATGGATGTGAGCTAAGGAAACGGGTTGAAGTCAGAATGTACTCACATCACTCTTGAACCGAAGGCAGAAAGGCAGCTTCTGGTGACGGCAGCAGATGACCCAGTGAAGACCTGATGCATGATGTATAGAAGGAGGCGCATCGGATTCTGTGATGATAATTTGTCGTATTCCACGATGGTCCTCAGCAAAGTAGATGTTGATAGGCGAGCCGGCGTAGTCGTCAGGAGAGAAGAACAACTCGTCACTCTCATGTTGCTGAATACGGGATATGGATTCAACGTACCGAAGTCCTTCCATTTCCGTATACCGTATCCAGAGGGGATGATTCCCATCGAGGGGAATCATTATAGATCTGGCACCATAAGTGTCGTCCAACGGGATCATCATGGAGGTTTCATAGCGTTGTCCGTGACCAAGCCATAGATCTCTGATAATCTGGGTAGCCCGTTCTTGCGTACAATAGCTGGCAATGGTTTGGCAAATCTCGGGGGGCAAACGACCTCTCAGAGCATGCTGGAGGTCGTGAGTGATTGAGTTGCGTAGCCACCGGCCGCGCTGGTTCGTGAAGGATCTGGGAGGTTGAATGAAGTAGGGGATGGAACCGGAGATCATAGACATCCGGTGGAGGTACGGATTGAAGCGTACCCTGTGGTCATCCCACACACTGATACAGGAGTCGACTAGGTCGACGCACTTTATATGGAATGCTCTCTCCCCATTTCGTCTGAATTCTACCACGGGGACCGTGTACTCGCCCTTCCAGCGGAACGGGATGTTTTCACCGACAGATCCAACTGGAATGAATTAGCCAAGGCGACTCTCAGTAAAGATGGATAAGCAGAAGCATTATCTTCTCAAGCTTAGGCTACCATAATAAAGTGGCCTCGATGCCAGTCTCAACTAGAGGTAGCATAAAGTAGTCAGGGTGGCTCACATATACAAACAGGGTCGCCAGGCTCGAAATAGAACCTGCATAGACCACAAGTAGGGTAGAATTCTGGTCTCTCTTCTTCTTCTTCCGAATCGTAATCGAAGTCATCGTCTGATGGGTCGCTAGGGAAGTGGTTGTCTGGAAAAGCGTCTTGATAGACCTCCCCGAGGTGTCCCTGGGGATGCGTATCCATGCTGGGTCGGGATGCCCTTGCTACCATCGTGTAGGCGCGCAAGAAGGAAAAAGGTGATAAGGGAAGAAGGAAAAAGAAAAAAAAAAACAAGAACAGAGAAAAAGTTACTATGGTAGGGTGTGATGCAGTAATGGTCCGCCCTTACCTTCCGCGACAGCTGTCTGCCACTGCCACTGCCACTGCCACTGCCACTGTCACTGTCACTGCCAGGGAGCCTACCCAGGCAATCAGCTGTCGCAAAATAATAACAAAGGAAGGTGCCCCTAAAAGATCATAATTCCTTAGGGTATCAGAAGAATTAGTCCCTCAAAGCACGAGAGACGAAATAGTTGTTCCGCCTCTTGTCGATTCAGCAGATCTGCACGCACCCGCTTATTGAGCAGATACCACATCACGACCTACCATTAATGATGTGCTCACTAAGGTGCCTACCTAGGTATATTGGTTCGGTTTGTTCGTCGTTAAAATTGGACAGACTGCCTTTGTTTGCTCCGCGCCTCAAATTGTCTACCGTCATGCCCAACTTTCCCTTTGGACCATGAAGTTAACGAGCAATGTCGACGGAGACGAGAGGCCCTCGCCAAATAGCAACCCAGTAAGAAAGAGTGTATTCAGATCGATACATTGATCCCGCGGCTTGTTCTTGGAAAGGATGCGCGATGCACTTGCAACACCTGTTGAGAGTCCGCTACACACATTTCTTAGGGATACCCATATCGTTCCAAAAAGTCATTGTCAGCTAGGTAGGTGTTTGCATGACGAAAAGGTGTGTTCCTGATACGCAAGACATATTGTTCGTGACATCTACGAAGGGCAATGTGACTGCGCGAAGGAAGCAGTAGAGTAGACCGACCGCAACTGAGCGTCCATCATGTGATTCTGAGGTCAATCATTCTTGCGCGCATTCGTACAGCAAATGGGATTAATGCTTGCCTCAAGGCGGCATGGCTATGGCATTTGCCTGTAACTCAGACAGATTAATGGAATCGTGGTAGCTGTTGGATGGATGGATATAAGAGCTTCTGTCATTAGCTCAAAGTCGATGCTGCCATGGATGAAGGCGACAAATGATGGGAATACTGGCAATTGATGGAGATCTATATGAGTTAAGAACTGTTCTTGATAGTAATAACTTCTGATTGAGTATTGTGTTCGCTAGTTCTGTTTATGGTACCACAACATTCACCCGCCACGAATGGATGTTATAAGAACATGTCAGTGGTGGCTTCAAGCTAATCACCAAACGCACCACTCGAAGCCTTCCTACGTTGGACAACCACACAGTACATCACCTGAATTCAGGAAAAACGTCAAAAAAAGAATGCCACGATGTTAGAAATCGT